GGAAAAGAAAATAATGTTAGTGAGAGAAAAGTCCTACAAAAGTTAGAGATAAAAGAAAAATTATAGAGAGAGAAAAGGAAGAAAAAAAAGATAAATTGAGAGAGATAGAGAGTAAAACTGAGAGTAAAATATATGTTAGAGAAAGAAAGAAGAAAATTTAAGGAGAAAAAATTTATAAAAAGAATGAGTTCAACCTAGCTAAACTTGTTAGGTTTTCTATAGTTTCATTTGACTAATCTAGACATATTTGATGACTAGTATATGCACTAAAAATTCACTTTAACTTTTTTTTTTTTTTTTGAAGAAATAAAATTCACTTTGAAGAATACTAATGAGGATAGGTGAATTGATAAGTTATCAAATAAAAGCATGTCATAAATATTATTAAGATAATAGTTAATTTAGGAATAATAATTGATATAGTGGCCAACATTGTGCATGTGAAAGTAAAACCAAAACATATTTAATTATTAAGGAGTACGGAGGGATGGATGAAAAGATGATCACAACTCCAAATCACACACACTATAGTCCGTTCTGTCTTTTTCGTTCAATCCGAAGTTAGATGTAAAAGTTTGGTTCAAAACTTGTTTATCCACTCTCTTTTTTTCTTTTATCCATTTTACACTCTTGTTATTCTCAATTTTTTTAAAAATACGAATCGTCACAAGTAATAAAATAGTACATAAATTATCGTTACCATATGAATTGTTATTAATCGATAATTTCCAACTATATTCAATTTTTAATCTATTCGATGGAATCGATAGAAGATGATGTGAGTAAACTAAAAAGAAAGTTTTAAAATAAACAAAGAAAAACGTACGGCTACGACCTTACCTTACTAATTCCTTAAGGGTTTCTTTACTCTAAATAACTTTTTTGTTTCTTATATATGTAATTTCCTCTAAGTAAAAGTTCGATACACAAATTCCTATATTTCAATAAAATTTTGAACCTATCAAAAACTATCCAGGACAGAAAATTTATGAATACTTTATAAGAATTCGTAAACATCCTTGTATTATGAGTGTGACTTATGGCTAAAAATTGAAGTTTCGATTCAACTCTCATCTCTAAATCTCAAATTAAATTTAAAATTATGTAATTAGTGATCAAACAACTACAAATATATTAAAATCAGAATGTTAACTCTCAACAATAAAAATAACATGGTTAATCATAAATGAATGAAACTCAATAATTCATAGTTTAGCTACATCTTGCCCCTAGAAACAAAATCTAACATAAAATTAAGCTAAAATCTAAACAACACTAATTAAGAGGAATACCTTAGCCACAACCTACACGGATCTCCTTCTTTTACAAAAAAAATCTGACCTAATTTATGAATTGATATTTCCCTTTTGTTCTGGTCACTAATCAAAACTGATGGACAAATTTTAATTTTAATCAAACTTATTTATTTGTTTAATTATTTTGGTGTTGTATATGCACAAATCTCTATATTAAATTTGGAAACAAAGATTTAGATTCTCTCAATATTGAATCACATGAACATTTGTAAGGAATTATATGTATGATTAAATAATTACATCACATGAATAATCATCCCCTAAATCGTCCCAAAGATATAATTTTATAATAATCTCAATTATATATAAAAAAAAACAAATCAAATGTATACACGTGTGCCAAATGGGCCCCTTGCTTTCCAACTTTATCGTAGCAGTGGCATAAAAACAAATTATTCTTAATTTTCTAATTTGATTATTTTTCATTTTCATTCATAAGGACGACTTTAATCAAACTCACACAATTTTAATCATATTTCTATTAAATTAAATTAATTTTTTATTTTTAATTATTTTTGAAAGAGTTCATATTTAATTAGTTATATTCACGGTTGCGTCGCTATCATATCGAGATACCTTTAATCTTTTATACAGAGCTTCAAAAAAAAAAAAAATACTAAAATAATATATTACATTTGTAACAATTTATTTAAAATTTACAAAAAAAAAGAGAGCATAATATTCTCCTGTTTCGAAAATTATAAAAGAAATAATACATCAAGTTTCAGTTATGTATGGTTTACGAACTGAAACTATAGTTATAATGCATCAACCAAATTATTTTGGTCTATTTAATTAATAATAATAATAATTTTTTTTTTTTTTTTTACTTTCTATCCTCTTTACAAAATTACAATTTTGATAACATGTATTTTATTACTTTCTATTTTTAAAAAAGCTTTTATGTAAATAATTTTCCATGGCTAATTTTCTTAAAATTTGAAATGTGATTTTTTTAATAAAAAACTTTAATGTGTATAAAAAGTAGAAAAAAAATTACATATACACAATTTGTAAAAATTATTGTACCCTTCCTAAGAGAGTTTAAGAAACTTTGAAATTATATACTATACTCAAGTTAGCTAAGATTTAACAAACTTTCTCTTTTTTTATAAAATTATACTCATAATTCTAAATAAATAATAAGTTCATTCTATTTAATAGAGACTTACGTTCAATCTCCATGTATTTATACAAGCTAAAACATCAGCAAAATTGTTCTTTTTCCTACAAGTGTTCGATTAACAAACTTGACGTAGGAGATCAAGAATCGCATATACTACATATATAAAGTAAAGGTATGTTTCAAGTTTCCAATTTTAGGCTATATACAAATTTTGAACTAATGAACCAAAATGGTCCCAAAAATTGATATATACACACACACATAAAAGAATAGCGTTAAAAGATTGAATGGAGATTATTGGTTTGAAGTTGTCAAATTGGGGGGGCAAGTTTTTGGTGGTGCATGTTCTTTGAGGGGCCCATTTTTTCCAATTGTAAAATTTTAATTTTCCCATGTATAAAATACCAAAAATTCTTTTTGTTTTTATTCCTTATTGGGATTAGATTCTCTAAATAATTTCCATCTTTTGAAAGAGAAAAGAAAATACATACATATATATATATATCAAATTACATTCCAAAAATTTGGAGATCATCATTCTCACCCCATCACAAGGGCAAGGGCCAAGTAGGGAAAGGAGAGGCAAGGGGCACTCTTAAACTTGGATTGGATCAATTATTTATTCTTTTTAATAAATATTATTTGGGAAGTAAGATTGAGTGAGAAATAAAGTTTAAAATATGGTATTTTCAAAATTTGAAAAGAAAAGAGAAGAAAATATTGTAATTTTTAAGAAGTTTTTGAAAGATAAGAACACAAAAATTATAAAAATATTTTGGGATCATATTATCAAATAAGAAATATATCAAGAAAGAGTTGTTATTTAATATATAAACATATTAATTATTTTGGTAGTTCAATGAGATAGACTAATTAATAGAGATTATCCAAATTTGTATCAATCTGATATATATATATATATATATATATATATATACCTTTTTTTAATGATATATTGAAGAGTTACGTTTAATAGGTTATGGATTTATTATTTGGATAGAATATTTAGAGACCAAATGATTAATACGAAGAAAAGCAGAAATAATAATTGAAATTGGGAGGATTTCAACATTGATTTGATAACGACACCACACCAATTTATGACATCAAAAAAATATGGAAATCATTTTTGAGTTTGATAGCGATTTATATTATTTAAAAGTAATTCAATCATTAAGAAAGTCTTTAGGTCCTTAAGAGAAGAGGAGAGATTCTAAACAAATGATTAAATCATCTTTTCTATTGATTTTTTACATAAAAGAATAATACTAAATTTGTGACTGCTTCACAAATTTGGAAAGCTTAACTTTGTGGGCGTTGATTTTGTTTTTGGTTTTCTAGTTTTTAAAATTAAATTTAAAAATACTATTGTTTAGTACGTGTTCCTTATATAGTTTTTAAAAACATTTTCAAAATTTATACCAATTCTTAAAAAAAAAATTGAAGAATTTGTTTTTGTTTTTTAAATTTGGTTAAGAATTCAATTATGTTTTCAATAACATAATTTTTTAAAATGGAAAAAAAAAAGTCATGAAACTACAAAAGTGTAGTTTTATTAGATTCCACAAAGAACAAGTTTTAGAAACTGAAATTTATGTAACTCATATTTATTTAGTTTTGCATTCATGATTGGTAAAAATTAGTGGTTATTAGTTGAGAGATTTGTTCTACAAGAATGAGCTTTAGGAAGTTTGTAAATGGTAATATAAGCTAAGTAAATCCATTTGCCAAATGTTGGCTGAAATTTTTAACTTTAACTAAGTTAAAAAAAATTCAGCATGTAGTGACCCAAATGCTCCTAAAAAAGCGTACTTTTTTTTAATCCAGAATACAATTAGTTTCTAGTTTTATTTTAAATTTAAATTCCAAAAATTTTAACTAAGTTTAATTATAAGTAAATAAAACAATTGAAACTTTGCAGAAAATGAGTTAAACTAATTAATTTAAAATAAAAAGAAGTTTCATTTTAAGGTTGAATACTATGCCTATTCTAATGCTAAACCTTAAAAGATATATATACATTCAAACTCATCATAAGTTATGAATTATTTTTATCTTTAGTCCTTGTCATGGATAGTTAACATCTGTTGACATAATGCAAACAAAACACCACTGTTCTGAAATTTGAGAGAGGTGAGGTGATTTGACAACTAGGTGTAAAGATTTAAGAACTTGATCGAGGCTGTAAAAATTTCCAAACTAAAAATGTATTATTCTCTTACAAATTTCATCCCAGAAGTTGGAGGCAATTTCCTACCAACCACGTGTCTACATTCTACAGAACAATAATGTTAAATCACCATGAAGGAAAATACATTCAAGTGATTGCACCTCTAAACCCACCAAAGAGTCCGAACCGATACAAAAGACCGGTCGAAATCTCCATACGGACGCTTGAGTTAACAGTATATCTGGCACACTCTACGATAATATGTTGAGACTTTTGGTCGCTTATACGAGATTATATTCTCTAATCTATTACTTGAATGTCGGACTACTTATGATAACGATATGACATTGTCCGTTTTAGATATAATCTTCGACTTTACTTTAGTTTTCACGGGATCTCGTACCAGTAAAGATTTATATAAGGCAGATCATGCTTTGTCTTAATCAACAACCAATGGTGAGATTTAAGAAATGAAATATAGAGGATATGGGAAAAAGGTAGAAGGTTGGGGACGGAAGCGACGAAGGGTGTGTACAGTGCTGTAGTGGACGGTAGCGGGCGAGTTCTTGAGCAGTGGACCCCCATTTATGTGAAGCCACAGCCACAGCACCGCCTCCACCTTCTTCATTTGATCATCGCTTTTCCCTTTACATCCAAATTCCCATGCTTCCTTTTTCTTCTCCTGCTCGCCGTGCCCACTTCTTCTCCCAGGTCTCTAAATCTAATCTTAATTTCTCTCTTCTCCCACCTTGGCTTTAATCTAGTTTTGAATCCCATTATTTTATTGCTGCAGTTGGATCCAGCTCCCCCTCATGCCTCCACCGCCGAATGCCGACGACGCCGCCGTCGAATGCTACGCCTGTACTCAGGCCGGCGTTCCCGCGTTCCACTCCACGAGCTGCGGCCAGTGGGAGGCCTCCGCCGGCTCCTCCCTCGTCCCCATCCAATTTCGCCCCACACAGACCAATCCCCCCTCGGGTCGATTCGGGGGCGTTCTCGACCCGAGGACCAAGCGGGTCCAGACATGGAATCGCGCTCTCCTCCTCGCACGTGGCATCGCCCTCGCGGTTGATCCCCTCTACCTCTACGCCCTCTCCATCGGGAGAGGCGGCTCGCCCTGCCTCTACATGGACGGCGGGTTGGCCGCCGTCGTCACCGCTGTCCGTACGTGCGTGGATGTGCTCCACCTGTGGCACGTGTGGCTGCAGTTCCGGCTCGCCTACGTGTCCAGGGAGAGCATGGTGATTGGCTGCGGCAAACTCGTGTGGGACGCACGTGCCATCGCTTCCCATTACGTCCGCTCCTTCAAGGGCTTCTGGCTCGATGCCTTCGTCATTCTCCCAATCCCTCAGGTTTACCTTCTCCTTCCTTTCCATTACATAAGTTAAATAATAATAATAAAACAAAACTAGTTCTCACTAACGAGGATAATATAAAATTTTTAATATTTATTATGCACTTTATAAGAAAAAATTATAAAATATTTTTTTGAAAATGAAACCACCAACGAGAGAGAATATTTTGTTATTTCCCAAATTTGTATATAATTTTCGGAAGCTTCTAAAAAATAGAAAAATAAACGGTTATACATAATGCTTAATTTTCAAAAACTGAAAATAAAAATAAGAAACCAGAAACATAAATATTAACTAACTTTTAATATAAACTCGGTAAATGATACATATAATTTTTTAGAAAAAAAAAGTGCCATTTTTTTCTTACTAATCCATTCATAAATATTTTAATCACAATTTTGTGTAATTATATCCTGTTGTCGCTCTTTCCCCAGCTTTAGAAAATATATTTCCCACATGAAAGCAAAAAGAAAACTGGTTATCAAATAATTTTATTTTTCTCTCTTGAAGTTCTTAAAAACCAAAAACATGATGAACAACAGAGTAATTAAGCAAGTTTCATATGTCTCGCTTAAAAAAGCTAAAATTCTGCCTAAATTCAAGAATTACCTTTGTGTCAACTGAATGTTAAAAAAAAAACTGAATGTTCTTAAATCAAAAGCTCAGATGTCTGCATCTTGCTTTGTTTAGCTCTCTGCCATTCCAATCTGAATTTGCTCTCTCTCTTTCTGCTCTGCTCAACTTTTCTTATTGCAGATTGTTTATTGGTTGGTTTTACCAAAACTGATCAGAGAAGAGAAAATCAAAGTTATAATGACAGTAATCTTATTAATGTTCTTGTTCCAATTCCTCCCAAAAGTCTACCACTCCATTATTTTAATGAGAAGAATGCAGAAGGTCACTGGTTACATCTTTGGCACCATTTGGTGGGGCTTTGGCCTCAATCTCATTGCCTATTTCATTGCCTCTCATGTAAGCCTGCCAAATACTTATCATACCCACTTCTTTAAACTCTGTCTTCCTTTATCCTAAATTCGCTTTTCCCGCTAACAGGTCGCTGGGGGCTGCTGGTATGTTCTTGCAATACAGCGAGTTGCTTCTTGCATCCAGCAGCATTGTGAGAGGAACAAGTGCAACCTATCTCTGTCTTGCTCCGAGGAGGTCTGTTATCAGTTTCTTGCAACGGCTACGACAGTTGGAAATCCGTGTGGTCGACATTCGACCGCAACATTTAGGAAGGCGTTATGCTTGGATGTTAATGGTCCGTTCCGCTATGGTATCTACAAGTGGGCTCTTCCAGTCATTTCTAGCAATTCGGTTGCAGTCAAAATCCTTTATCCCATCTTTTGGGGCTTAATGACTCTTAGGTAAGCATGGAAGCAATGGTAGAGATTTTTGCACTGTATATGTTTCTTGATAATGATGCTTTGAATGTTGCAGCACCTTTGGCAATGATCTGGAGCCGACGAGTCAGTGGCTAGAAGTATGCTTCAGTATCTGCACGGTGCTCAGTGGATTGCTGCTTTTCACTCTTTTGATTGGTAATATCCAGGTGAGTTTGGTTGTTAATATGTGAAATGTAGCTGAAAGTTCTCTTCATCTGTTGACAACAACTCTTCCCATTTCTTAAAAAAAAAGGTACTTTTGCACGCCGTCATGGCGAGGAGGCGGAAAATGCAGCTGAGATGTCGAGATTTGGAGTGGTGGATGAGGAGACGACAATTGCCATCTCGTTTGAGACACCGAGTTCGACACTACGAACACCAGCGATGGGCAACCATGGGTGGAGAAGATGAGATGGAACTAATCAAAGACTTGCCTGAAGGTCTTAGAAGAGACATTAAGCGCCATCTTTGTGTTGATCTTATCAGAAAGGTAACTGGAAGGATAGGTATTCAACCAAATGTCCTGTTTGAGGTTCTGTTTCCTTATTTAACTGTCATCAATATATGTATAGGTACCTCTGTTCCAAAACCTGGATGAGCTTATTCTCGACAACATCTGTGATCGAGTCAAGCCACTTGTATTCTCCAAAGATGAAAAGGTACATGTTCGAACCAAGTCGTCGGTGATCCGCTATTGATGTCGAGATAGACTTATAATGTTGATGTTTCCACACAACAGATTATTAGAGAAGGAGATCCTGTTCCAAGGATGTTGTTCATAGTGCGTGGATGTGTAAAGAGTAGCCAAAGCCTGAGCAAGGGCATGACAGCGACAAGCTTGATCGAACCGGGAGGGTTTCTTGGTGACGAGCTGCTATCGTGGTGTCTTCGACGCCCGTTTCTCGAGAGGCTTCCAGCTTCATCAGCGACATTTGTTTGCATCGAACCAACAGAAGCATTTGCCCTGAATGCAGACCATTTGAAATACATAACCGATCACTTCCGCTACAAGTTCGCCAACGAGAGACTTAAGAGAACGGCGAGATATTACTCTTCCAACTGGAGAACATGGGCGGCCGTGAACATACAATTTGCCTGGCGTCACTACAGAAAGAGGACGAGACGTCCAGTGATTGCTGTGGTGGAAAACGGAAGCCATGAACGTCGACTTTTGCGGTATGCTGCAATGTTCATGTCGTTCAGACCACACGACCATCTTGAATAGTAAACTTGCCTCCAATTCTTCAATTCTTTTCTAAAGCCATTCATCCATATCATTTTCATATTATTCTATCTCTATCCATGTCTCTCAGGAAAGACATGGAATTGAAAATGAATGTTTAGAGAGTAGTGACATGTAGTTAGGTGTTTCTCATTTAGTTGGAAAATGAGATGTATTTTAATGCCAAGATGGAGCTATCTATATATATACAAACATTTTCCACCTCGATTATCTCTTATGTTTTTCAAGAAAAATATAGAGTTTAAAATGAGGTGAAAATTCGAACCCACGACTTTACCTATATCTTTAATTAGTTGTTGAGTTATACTTAAGTTAGCCAACAATCTCAATTTATCACATCACAAGTTTAACATATTTTTGCATAGTTATTATTGTTGTTGTTATTATAGTCATTGAGGGTAGAAGGTTTCTGAAGATTGCATTAAATAGAACTGCTTAGCAAAATCATATGATAAGGGAAGTGTAGATTTTGACAAATAATAGTTTCAAATTTATACATTGGTCCCTCTTTGTGGAAAATGTTAGAAAATTTAAAAGAAGCAGCAATGCATGAATTGGGCCTCACCTCACCAAACTTTTTTGGGCCCCACAAGGCCAAGGACATCCTCCCAAAGGCCCACACTTGACACATCCAATCCAATTACACTAGGACTACAAGCTGCCACAGTCCAATAACCAGCTCTGATTTCATCCTTCAATTGGACCTTCTCCCACCCACAGTAGCCATCAAAGAACCTGAAATCTTGAGGCCCAACCAGATTTCTCTTCACCATTTCTGATGCACACCCAACGCTCTCTTTGGTCCCATAATACACTCCTCTCATTACTTCCTCAAAAACCCCACTCTTCCCAACCCCATCTTCCTCTCCCCTCTTTGGGCTCACCAAAAACAGGCCCTCTTCCAATGGCCCACCGAAGTACAGAGGCCGGTCCGAAAACGTGCCGGCCACGTCCAGCGCTGTGGACCTCGCTTCCTTGATGGACATGAGCGATGGCCGGTTCAATATGATTCCCAATGACCCCAATGGCCCGTTTGACAAGAGAAGGACCACCGCCTGTTCGAAGATGTGGACGCCGTCCAGCTTCTCCGTGGCAATGAGAAGACATCCTCTTTCAGGCTCGTGGATGACGTGGGCCCACTTGTCGCCAATGGAGATGGCCGGTGGAGGATCGACCACCGTGTCAAGACCTATAAAAGAGGAAGAAATCTGAGGCGTCCATAGATTCTGTTTCTGCGTGGCGATCAGCTTGGCTCTGAATGATCTCCAATCATCACCATCTACACTAGCCTTGAATTGGCAACCTAAAGAAGCAAATACAGGAAACGCTAAGGATATGAAACTAAAAGAAAAGACAGAGAATGAAGGGACTTACATGATACTTTGAAAGATTGGGTTGGGGACTTCGTGTTGAAGAGAATTTTGGGCTTGATTTCAATGGGTTTTGAGGTGAGAGAACAAGCTTCCATTTGGATTGAACAGCACCTTCAAAGTTGAAACTTTGAAATTGAATTGGGATGAAGGAGAAGAGAAGTGGAAGAAGCATTATAAGGATGGAAGAAGGGTGAATTTGAACCACATAAACAGGAAGGCCTCTTCTTTTGGACACCCATCTCATCCAAAAGTTGATTGTCCACGCTGTGGGCCCCAAAAGGGTATGGACAATTGGATATCATATTACACGTGGCTTGATTACAGACTGCCATGTCACGGCCTTTTCTGGCTTCTGGATTGGTGAAACCCTTTTGGATGACGTGGCGTTTTGGTTGCCAATCACTGTTCTTGGTGCAAGTAACTCTATGCTGCCTCACTGTTAGAGCCCAACAACTCAAACTTGTGAATGTTATAATTTTGATTTTTTTTTTTTTTTGTATTTGTTAAAATTTTAGAGGATTTTCTGAGTTTTTTGTTTTTCTTCTTTGAGTACAACATGTGAAAGTGGTGATTCGAACTCTCAACGACGTCGGGATGCTGAGTTATGTTCTAATTGGCATTTCTCTTATTTTTTTAGTTTAACAAGAGATTGAGATTTTTTAATAAAATTATTAATGGTTTGATTAGCTGTCCTATACTCGTGTGGAAGGTTCAATTTTATATATATGGTAGTATGTTGGTGAATCCATTTTAATCTTAAATTTTTAGTTTCATTAATTTTAAATCCTAAGTTTGAATGTGTTTGCAATTAAAATAGTTAACTTGAACAACTAGTACAACACCCTTAACATTTTTTTCCCTTTTTTTGGTGGATTCATTATTTTTATGTGATACCATTTGAGCATTGACATGATCTTCACTGTTTTGGTGAGTTGAATTTTGTATGATTTGTTTGTTCGTACATGAGATTTCTCTTTTAATTTTAGTTTTGAGTAGATATTAAGTGTCGTACTTATTCAAAATTTTAATTGACGAAATTGAAAGCTTACGGTATGAATTGACTCAACCGTCTAAGTTTAAGGTAAAAATTGAACTTTACCCTAGTTTGGGAGTAGTGTTTCTTATATTTAAAAGTAAAAAATTATTTTTTTATAATGAAAAAAAAAATGTTTGGTAGAATATTTTTTAAAGAAAATCTTAAAGAAAAAAGGTTTGATAAAAAGAAAATCATGTGTGTTTGTTAAGATTGAACTAAACAAAATTTATAAATTAATTAATAATATTTTTGATTCAACTACATATTCAGTTCGTAATTAAATTTACAAATATATTACTAAAAAAACAATTATTTAAATTGAAATTTAATTCTCACATTTGTTAATACAATTGTTTTCATTGAATTAATTATTTTCAGATTTCCAAAATAAAAAAATCATTAAAAGAGAACGCTAATACAACTGAGGACTGAATTTGAATTTTCCCACAAAAAGGGAAAAAAATTGAGGAAATCGACGCTTCGTTTGGGCTGTGGCAACCCTAGAGAATTGGACTTTTATTGAAGGGTTGCCCAATCTAGCCTTCGGCAATTTTCTACAAAAAGGCAATTGAAGAATTCAGGTTTCGGACCATGGAAGGCCAAAGGAAGTTGGAATTTCACGAGAATCATGAGATAATAAATTTTCTATAACTTTCCTTTCAACATTTAATTGATTGAGATTTGATGAATCAATATGTTTCAAATTCCCTTATTTCCCTAGATCAGCTATCAGGGACTGAAATTGTGGCTCGACTAAATTAATCACATTTAATTTTGTTGGATTCCTATGAACCATTAGAAGTTTCCGACGATCGCTCACTCTAGTTACTGGAAGCTTCGCTAGTTCGAATTGTCATAGATAGTTTCGTAATCTTTTATCGTGTGACTCACATTGTCTCAGAAGTGCAGAAATTTGGTAACGCCTCCTACTTGATTGAGATCCAACAACCTTCCATTGGACCAACTTTCACCGAGCAAAAATTCCAAAACATTCTCAGTCAACGTGCTGTCAAACTAGGTTCTTTCATATTTGGGATGGGAGTTTGAAGTTTGACGACATGTCGACTGCAAATCTTAATCTTTTGAAATTCTCGATTTTCTCACTAATATATCAAAATTCTAATTTAGGTTATTTTCTATAAAAAGTTTTTATTAAAACTTTCATATAAAAAGTTTAAGTTGATGTATAATTAAATTATTAATTAATTAATATATTTGGACACGTGGATATATTACATTTATAAATAAAACTTATTCATCAACAAAGTTCATTTCTTAATCTAAGTTGCATATTTAAGTGGCATGTCCACATATTCAAATATATTAATAAAACAATAAACTAATAGCACGCAAACTTTCGATTAACATTTTCTAACCAATAAAAGAAAAAAATCTCGATATATTTTTTCTACCACATGACCTAATTGAAATTTTTTAATACATTAAAAACATAATTATGACTTTTTGTTCTATTGAGTGAGGTACATACATAATCCTTGAGGTCAATAGTTGGTTTGACTACGGTCTCGTACTTGTTATTGTACTCATCTGTGTCGCTTTAATATATGTTCATGTCAACGCATTAGTATGCATATATTTAGAGTCATATTAATCTAAGTATAGTTTAATTTATTAAAAAATTTATATTTGGAAAATATTTAAATTTTGACTGGTGAGGACTTATTTTTATCGTGACTACAATTGGTAACTCATTATATTTTTAAAAATTTATTTACTTTCATATTTCTTTCTTTTAATTGTCAAACATTTAATGGTAGTGAGCACAATATAGGTCATTAGATAGGATTAAGTATTTTTCTTTATATTTATCTTATTTTATTATTTTTTTTTCAAATGTTAGATATAGTGCAATGAAAAAAATTGGATCTCATAGTTTGAGGTCAAGGCTCAACTGGATCAAAGAAATCTGGCAATAAAAAATTAGTAGGAACACAGAGTTCTCTTTAAGCTTTGTGTGTGCGTGTCTATATATATATTTGTAAATTGAGATGGATTGATTTTCACTATCGTACATTTTTTAACTACATGTTGATGCTGCGGTAGTACCTAATATGAGTTTATTCCTGCCTCACACAATTTCAAAATTTGCATCAATTGATTACAAAGGTGGAAACTACTAAACTTGTTTATACTTTCAAGTGTCATCTATATAGAAAAGATTGAGTAAAAGAGAATGAATTCAAACTCATGATAACCACCTCGGGATATTCACAGATATCAATTATAAAAAAAATAAAAAAGATTGAGTAGGAAAACGTCAAAAATTTCTTTGGCTTATGAGGTACATAAAAAATCAGCCTAAACATCTTTTCAATCAAAACTGCAATCCAAGACAAAAGGTCCACCAAATTCGTATGTGCATCATAATTAAAAAGTAAAAGCAACTTGTTAAGAAAATAAATCTCAAACGCAAAAGTAGACCTTATCAAAGTACCTGACAAGTTGGAATTCAAAGTAGGAAAGCATTATTTAAAAATTGAAAAAGTTGAAGAATTTGGCTCCACCCCCAACAACCGAAGCTTATAAAATTACTCCCGAGATTGAGACCTCATTCGTGGTAGGCAGGTATGTCGTATGCGTAAAGGTGAGGGATTCGGTAAAGGAAAACGAAGAACAAAATTAGACGACTTGGATTGGACCGACGGCGGTCGTTGGCTTCCCTTGCCCAAAAATTCCTCCTTTCCAGATGCCAATGGGCTCCGCCACTCCGTGACTGTGTGTAAAGTCTTTAATTCACCAACCCAATCGACCCCTTTTCTTTTCCCCTGCCTGCTCCTTCCAACTTCCACGCAACCAAATCAAATACTACATTTCCCCTCTTCCCTCTCATTTCCCCCCTCAAATTCCCCTTCTTCCCCTCCCTCTTTCATCTGGGTCCTTTCCCCTCTCTCTAGATTTCTTCTCCATCTCGTGTTTTTCAGCCGTGTTTGTCCAAAAATGGAGGCCAAGTTGGTTTTTACTGCTGCCCCTGCTTGTTCTGCTACTCGTCTGTCCAAACTCTCGAGACCCACTTGCGCTTTCGTCTCCCATGGTGGGAAGAATCAGGGATTTTCGGCCCTGAGTTCCAGTTTGCCTGATGGGGGCGTCCGTTCTGTTCGAGCCTCTGTGGCATCCGTTGGGTATCTTGCTTCCGACCCTTTTTCTTTTGCTACTGCTTCGATTTCTACTCTTTTTCCTTTCGGTTCCTTTTGGCGACTTCTGTTTTTCAGCAAACTGATTTTGGACCGAACGTTCTTGCTTTTGTCTGATTTCACTACCATCTCTTAAACTTATTGTCTCTGATAGATGCTGTACTCATAATGCATTGTACTTGTTTTTGGACGGAAACTTTTTGAAGTTTGGATCAATTTTTCATGTTCTGATGTAGATGATTGAGGGTGTCGACAAAACATTAAACGTATCTTTTAAGTTCTCGAGTCTCCCTAATTAGAATTGATAGTCTACTCATTGGGTCGTGTCCTGATTTTTGAGTCACAAGTGGAAAGTTCTGTAGTGAATTTAGCAGTAGTTTATAGAGGGATAGTGTGGAAATTTTCTGTTTACAATTGTGTTTGATTCCAAAATTTCTTCTCCTGATAAAACGGTTTATTAATTAGAATTCCAAAACTTTTCTGCCAATATCTTGTGGAACAAGCTGTAATTTTAAAGGATTTGTTTGTGCATTATAGACCATCTCCAAAACCAAGAGTGGACATAAGTGAGAACTTGACCCTAGAGGCAATAAGACACTCATTAATCTCCCAAGAGGACAGCATTATCTTTAGTCTTTTAGAGAGAGCTCAGTACTGTTATAATGGAGATACATATGACCCCAATGCTTTCTCCATGGATGGCTTCAATGGTTCTTTGGTGGAGTACTTGGTCAAGGAAACTGAAAAGCTTCATGCTCAGGTATTTGAATGTTCTGAAAGGAGAAACAAAAATGGGAGAAGGCTAATATTTTAGGTGTTTGACTGACAATATTTTTGCACTTCAGGTGGGAAGATACAAGAGTCCTGATGAGCATCCTTTCTTCCCTGATGACCTACCTACTCCGATGTTGCCTCCGCTTCAGTATCCGCAGGTGAGCGTTAACTTCCACAGATGCTGAGAAATGTGATTCATGGCTTGTATGTTTTTAGTCGTTCTTTAAAATGTTCAAAAGTTCTAAAGTCGATGTCTATTATGAGAACAACTCGACTAGAAACAACTATCACAAAAGAAACTTAATGGTTGGAATTAGAATACTAAATGAAGATTAGTCTAACATAGGGTTGATGTCTCAAATGTGTAAAAGTTGTTTCTATGAACCATAATCTATCCTCTTCAAAGGTTTCGGACAACCATTCTATCTGTTGTGCTTTCTAGCATGTATGAGCAGAATGGCGTACCGGGTGACATGTTCTGATCCTCGATTTTAACTGAAAACAGGTACTGCATCCCGTGGCGGATTCCATTAATATAAATAGCAAAATATGGAGCATGTACTTCAGGGATCTCATACCAAGATTAGTCAAGGAAGGAGATGACAGCAATTATGGATCAACTGCTGTCTGTGACACCATTTGCTTGCAGGTCTGCATCCAAAACTTCCTCAACCATGTAAATATTTCTTTAGCAAAACGATCAAGTTTTCCGATTAGTTTCTTTCGATCATCGCAGGCACTTTCGAAGAGAATTCATTACGGTAAATATGTAGCAGAAGCCAAGTTTAGAGAATCACCGGACGCTTACGAGGCTGCAATTAGAAAACAAGTAAACCTTCTCCTGTTACTATATATTACTTGATTCTGGTGTTAATTGTCTTCTTTTGCAATCAAAGATTAATATGATTCTGGTGCTGGATTTTAAAGGACAAGGAGAAGTTGATGAAGTTGCTGACGTACCTGCCCGTCGAGGAGACGGTGAAAAGGAGAGTCGAAATTAAAGCCGAAACATTTGGGCAAGAGGTTCCTGTGAACATAGAGGAAAAACATGCTGCCCCAGTTTACAAAATACAACCCAGTTTGGTTGCTGATCTTTATGGAGAGTGGATCATGCCATTGACAAAGGAAGTTCAAATTCAATACTTGTTGAGAAGATTGGATTGATTTTGGGTCAGTCTCCATAGTGTCAATGTTTAAAATGGTAAATATAACGAGGGAATTAAGAAAGTCCTGTGATTATTAGTGAACAATGCTACAAGTTCACTACTGTTCCACTAGAATAGAATCAAGTATGAATTTTGTTGATAGTTAAGTGTTGTAATCTCTGATAAGAAACAATCCCATTATTTCCTTTGAATATATACTTCTATAATTCTACTCAAGGACAAAACAATCTATTCTTGTATTATTATAGAGGTTGATTCTTTGGTTTGTTTACTTGCCAATAAATTATTCAATCGGTTGAAATATTAAAACTTCAATACTAAAATTATTCATAATTTTTTACCACTATAATTTGGCCGAGTGATCATTAAAAACCAATGAAAAAAATAAAAAGCTTGGAATGAGTTGAAATCATGGTAATTTAAAATTAGAGTTCAAATCAGAAAATAGTATAAATATATTTGGTTCTCTATTTATTATATTTTTAAAAATAAAAAATGTGTTGGCCATTGGGAATTGGGATAAGATATTAATACTCTATCGTTCTTCAAGCTTTGGGGAAATCCGGCAATGGCCTCCATTTGCCATTCGATTTCGCTTCCTCCTTTATCCAAATCCACAAAAATCTGTAGACTCCGACCTATCCACGCGCTCCTTCGCAACTCAACGCCGCATTCCAGTTCTACGCTCTCGTTTCGGAGCTGCAGAACTCAAGCCACCAGCTCAACGCCGTCCACCGCCGTCGGAGATGCTCGGGGATCTAACGAGGAGTCGATGAGCATCGATAATCTTCGCCGTTTCTTCGAGCTGAACTCGGGGAAGTGGAACGGTTCTTTCTTTGTGAGTTTGAATTTCTTTCGCTTATGCTAATTTGTTCTGCTTCCGTAAAGCTGATAGCTTGATATTGTCCATGGGATCAAAGAAAATTCTTAGAAAAGAGGTGGTTGTTCTCGATTTATTTGAGATCACTTGGTTTCAGCTCAAGAACCAGTGAGCTTTTATTTTCGGTTATTTCCCTTTTTATGCCTTTTTGTTTCCAGCAACCTATGGATGTGGGATTTATTATTTGGTGATTTGCTTGAGGTTGAAATTTGATTTACTTGTCCAGCAATTTGACGCTCGAGGGAAGTTGCTGCATCAGATAAGTACAAAGATTGCTGCGAGCTCTTATGGAGAGGATGAACTTATCAGTCTCATTCAAACGTAAATTCAAATCACTCTTGCATATAAGGAAAAAAAGAATATCTAATCAAGTAAGACACGACTATGTGATTAATCAATGGTTGTTAGTCTAATGATTACTAATTTAGGCTTCCAGCCCTTTCCAATTTCACCGTATGATCCCTAAAGTAATGGAAGGACAGAGAGAATAACAGCATATCTGACATTTATTTTCATTCTTGTAACCTGCTTTTGTCTGTATATATTCCTACATGATTGAAACTGAAGTCAAGGCTTGATAGTTAATGCAACTTTTTTACTCAATGTCACTGACTTACCATAACAAAGACATGGGCTAATATTGTTGTTCCCCCTGATCACACCATGCTTTATAGATTATACATTAAACAGCCTCCATCAAGCTTTTCATTTTCTGGTAATGACGATGAAGCCGAGTGGGCGGAGTACAAAATAAAAGAAACCAATATGTTCACTGTGGACAAATACCAGCAGGTGAGTTCACCCTTCCARCCCGAATAGAATAATTTCTTGGCATTGTTTTTTGTAGTGCTATTATTGTTTCCTGAATGTCCATTACAATTAGCTTGCAGATTGGATTTTTCCCCAATGTGAAAGCATTTTCTCTAAGGTACCAGACGGCTGGGATGTTGGAAACTGTGCTGAGGCAAGGGGTGCTGGGTGAGGATGATACTGGTGAAGAATTTCCGAAGTAAGAGTTCATCCATGGTCTTTCTTTGCACATAAATGGATTAAATGCAACAATTTGCTACTTTCTATGTATTCATGTGATAATTTATCTACATCTGCATGAATTGAATACRCTGGAGCCTATCTGCTCTAAATACCGTGTCATACTCATTTTAGTCCCAAAAATAGTGAAGGAGTATTGAGAAACCTTGATAAGTTTTTTTTACTCAGTATTTGCCTATGGGTTTAGACTCCAATTGGGTGCCTGGTGCCACCTTCCTGTCCTGGTTCGACCAACAGAAATTATTTTATTGAACGTTCATAATCATCATGAATGTCATTTTATATGAAGCCCTTTATCGGTTTCAATCATGTCTCTCATGAACTGATGTGGATATTGCTTTAATCTTCAATTTATACTTTTGCCTCGGCCATTTTCTTTTCTAGTTCTCTGTGTATTAAACTTTCTTTTCAACCGTTTAAACTTATACAAAATTCTTATTTATAGTTTCTTTTCCACCCTCTTAAACATGTAGAAACCTCAAACTTCCTTCACGCCGACCGTCCATTGTATGCGAGAATTGCCTGTATATTCCAGACAAAGATCTGAGGGCAAGAGCTTTCCACATAATGGACCCAAAAGGAATTATTGAAATGCTTCTTATCTTTCTTGAGGAAAGGACTGACGGAATAACTTTTCAGCCTCCTCCTAACTCAAATTTGGTAAATGTAAGTAGCAGTATTGGTCGAGTAACGTGATGGACTTGGTTTTCCACTATATCCTTTCAATTTCTATAGTGTYTTTTGCAGGGTGAGGAAAACAGGCTTCTGCCATTTCTTGGTGACTGGAAAGGCCATTCTAGWACAAAAAGAAGTGGTGTTTATGGATCCACGATTGCTGAAGCGGACACCCTTTCATCCCTTCAAATGGATAATAATGGTCAGATTGTCCAGGTATGGTTGCATTGCAATGAAATTCTCCCCCATCTTCAGAGCATCAACCAAAATTCTCTCTCCACCATCAAATGAGGTCTTTAAATCCCTGATTCATTCTTTTGTTTTGCTTTTTGAAATCTGGAACCTGTTCTTGTACTTACAGGATATCASAACAACATCAAGCAATGGAGATATCACCACATACGTGCACTGGACTGGTACTAAATCAGAAAATCTGGTCACGTTTGATGGAGGGTATCAGATGACATTATTGCCCGGCGGAATGTATATGGGATGTCCATGTGATGTAGCCAAAAGTGTAGCAGAAAGCAAGTCCTTTCACTTGGAATTCTGCTGGCTCGAAGCTCCAGGCAGAAGACAGAGACTGGTTCGTACTTACGATGTGGAAGGTTTGGCTGTCTCATCGACCTATTTTTCTGAGATTAAACTGTGAATGCTCCTTCCATCCATTCCAACTACACTAGAACGAGTGAATGTAATTTTTCAAACAGAAATAAGAAATAAGAAATAGAATCGTTAGGTTCTTCTTATCTATAAGGGTTGACGTGACATTTTTTATATTGTTTTTTATTTATGTGACAATAACTAATAAATTTTATGTTTTGTCAAAGCGAGCATACCTCACTGTAATTAGCATATATCTCCCACCAAGAGGTTGTGAGTTCATTGTCCTATCTCTACATGTTATACTAAAAAAATAAATTTTAGGTTTTAACTCAAAACATAATAATAATAAATTTTGGGTTTAATTGCTATTTTGATATTTGTGCTTCAAAAAGTCCATCTTTGTTCTTATATTTTCAAATTTTGTTTGTTTTATTGTTTGCTTCCAAATCCATTTTAGTCCTTATATTTTTTAAAATGACAATTTTAGTCCATTCAATTTCATTTTTATCTCATTTCTTCTATCACAATTTTAGCATGATACTTCATCCACTAAATTTTTTCAAACGCAATCAACAATTTTGTTTTAATGCATTTTTATTGAATATAAAAATTTATGTTAACATTTTTCTTAAATGTATAGGATCAAAATAGACATTTTGATGATAATATAAAGACTAAGAAGTACAGATTTTAAAATCAAACCATGTACTAAAATAGTATTTAAATCTAATTTTTTTAAAATTTTCATAATAATTGAGCATAAAGATCAAATGGTCAGTAATAAAAAATTTAGCAAAAGAAAGTTTAATTCATCTTAATTACCCTCCTCCCTCGTCTTCCCCCTCCTCTCTACTTCTCTCTCTTCTCCATTCTTCAATTCTTCTCTTATAAATATAAATAAATAAATATATATATATATATATATATATTTTAATACTTAAACTATATTATATATAGATCATATTCTCTGGAATATATGAAACACTATCATTTTATTCTCAAATTAATTTACATTCTCATTCTCGGGACCATCATGAAATAAAAGACATTCCAAAGATGACGTCAGAAATATGATTGGCATTGGCCAACTATTGTGTCACGTAACCTAAAAACAATTGACATTAAATAAACTTTGGTACACCACAACACAAAACTCTGGAAATTTATTTATTAAAATTTTTGACTTTTTTTTTCCCTTTGTTCTCCTCCCAATCTCATTTGTTTACTGCCCAACTTGGCTCATAGTTGAGCCCACGTACTGTCCTCACAACGCCAACCATGGGATCATAAAAGGAACAAGTTCACTGCTCATCAATCAAGATTCTTATTGTAGATTTTGTTATATATATGTGTGTGTAAGAAGAAAAAAGATAACCTAAATCTCCTATGATCCTATCCATCTTAGTTCATAGATTGTAGAAGAGGTATGACGTGCTTAATACTTTCACTAATGAGTTTAACTTAGCAATAATTGACATCTGTTTCTGATTACGAAGTTTCAAATGTTAAATATATCTACACGTGTGACAGAATCAACAAAACTAAACTTTCTAAAATAACATTGATTGAGAAATACGTAACTCCAATCAATGATTTCAATAGTAGTTGTTTTTAAAATTCTATAGAATTTTGTTTCCTATTTTTAGATTTATTAAATGCTACTACTTTTGTTGATCATAAATGGTATGATTTAATAAAATCCACAAAATTCAAATAAAATGGGAGCAGTTATGTAACTCCTCCTTCCCTAAATCTCTCCGCTCTTCTGAAAAGAGGGATATTCTTGAAAAAACACAGAGAAAGAACCTAGAGTTCGATTGTCTCAAAATTATTCAACACTTGGTTCGAGATCGGCCAAGCAACCTCGAGGGTAGGAATAGTGAAAGAAAGATGAGAGGAAGAAGCAGGGTAGAGGAATTGGTCGACTCATCAAACCCATAACCTAAAGACTGCAGGTTCGAATCCTATCCTCGTCTAATCACTTGAGATGCATTTTTTGTAACGGTGGTACTTGACAAGGAGAGACGGTGAATCGTGAGATTTTTCCGTTGGTGATCGAGTTTCGACGTGACTCGAAAAAACCCAACATAAATCATAAATTTCATTTCTAATATCAAAAAGCAAGCAACAACATAAATTATTTCTAGAATATTTTATCCTCAAACTCAGACAAAAAGAAACCAGAAATATTAGAAAGTCTTAGCTGTTTTATTTTAAAATAGAAAGTGAGATATATACAAAAACATTTTCAAAATGCTATTATATGGCAAATGGGGAAGGTGGGTTAAGCTTGGATATTTGATTTTTTCTTTTTTTCTTTTTCCTCTTTTTGCAACTATAAGAAATATCATCTTTTAAGATGTTGACTTCAAAACATAAAAATGCATGAGCCTGCCCTTTAAAGCACCCACTTGACATTTTTTGCATTTTGGATAGTGATGGGAAGGAGAGGGTGCCCCAATGTTTTTTACTTTGATCATTGCAACTACTCCTTTTATTTTAACCTCATAATGGAATCGAATAAAGTTTTAGATTTAATTCAAATGTTCGGGAAATGTAATTATATTCAATTAAATGAAAATAGATAGATTTTAGATTGGATCCAAACTAATACAATACAAGGTGTCAAGTATAATATTTTTAATTCAAATAACCCTTTAATTATTGGTTTGACTTGGATTATGAATATAGATCTAATTGACTAAATTTATTGATCCAAATCATCCGCATTGAGTTGGATTTTTCATGTTTTTCAATTGTCGGTTATTTTGGAATGTTTGTACCCATGATTCTTTAATTGATGATGTCACAAATCACGTTCTCACCATATTTAATAGAGCAATAAAAATACACGTCCTATTTTTCAAATTTTATTCATTTTAGTCTATAGTTTCAAAATTTCTATTTTAGTTATTGTACTTATAAAAGTGTTCCTTTTGCCACCTTCATTTTCATTTTTATCTCACTTCTTTCGACCATATTTTTAACACGGACACTTTACTCACTAAATTATTTTAGATGCAGTCATAAATTTACATTAAATTAAAGGATTTCATTATATATAAAATTCAGGTTAAATTTTGCAAATAGAGAAAATAGTGATCACTTCCTAAAAGTATAAGAATTCGACCCTAAATAAATACAAAGGGATGGAAATGAACTAAACTAAAAATAAAATTACATGAATTAAAATAGAATATTTAAACTTGAAAATGATTGTTTTGAACTTAAAGAAATCTTGTGAATGCTTGACAAACCAGGAAAATTGTAGCTTAAATTTTGTTTCCACATTTTTTTTCTCTCTCCAACCACAAACAAGTTTTCGTTTCATTCTATTTCTTTCCCCAGCCGTCAAGAACAAAGCGAGAAAAATTAGGAGAAAATAAGAATAAAAGTCAAATAAGGTTTCATTTTCAAGATTCAAGTAAGAAAATGATCAATTTCAGATGGGGGTATCTTTGGGAAAATGAATGGGAGGCGGGACCCACATTCCCTAGAAAAATAAAAATAAAAAATCAATTTTAAAATTTTCTGAAATCTGGTATACCAACGTACACGACACGTCGTCCCGCTGGTGAATTTAGATTTCTTGTCTGTCGTAATTCTAATTTCTGCGGTTTCAATTATACAATTTGAAAAAGATATTCCATAAAATGTAAGATTTTTAAGGCAGGGTGGAGATTTTAATTCACGATTCTTTGATTAGACTTTTAATTAGAGATAGTAAAAATGTTTATTTTCTTTATAGGAATCGGCCCTATAGACTCACCCCAAACAGGATAGGAAATTCGTGTTTAGATTTTCGAAAGAAAGGGGATGGGGGACATTTTTTTCCTATTACCTAAACAGAGACAAGGATAGGAAATGCATTCTCCATCGTCCTTCTCCATTTTCTGCCTCGCCACAATTTTTTTAAATATATATTTATATATTTACTAAATATTAATATACATTTTTTTCTCATCATTTGAACGGCGGGAAAGAGGATGTGTGTGAAAGGTTCAAACTTGGGAAATTAAATAATTAATAAGAAAAAATTTTTAAAAATTATTTCATTGAAAAATAGTTTTGAAAATTAAAAAAAATAAACAAGAAAAAATTCTTCGTGGAGAAATCAATCCCCCTGAAATGGAAGAATTTTGCGAGCATGGGGAATTAAATAGGAGACAATGACAAGGATGGAGAAGGCTTCCTCGTCCCCATCTCATCGATCATGTCACGAGAGTAGATTCAGTTGGTTTCATCGGTCATCCTGCGAACCTGACAGTTCGTGAACATCTTTATGTATTTTAACTAGTTGAACTATGTTGGTAGATAAATTTTGAATTTACGACCTATAATATTGTAAAATTGGTTGAATATTAAAAATAAAAACAATTTAATGTAAACTTTTCTTTTAAAATAAGAGACCAGTAAGATTGATCATGAAATTGGAGTGCCTTCCATAAAATATTAAATTTCTAGTCAGTTGAACTAGGTTAAATTTTTCATCCAAGTAACTTCTATGAGGGTAAGATACACAATTTATCATATCATATTTATGATATTTTAGAAATAAAATAAATTTATGGAATATATTTTATTAGTTAAAATGGAAAACTTATCTTTTATCAGAATTTATGAAGTAATTTATTTGGTAAAATCAAGATATGCACCCATAGTCCATACCATTATCTCTCAATAAGGGATTTAAATTCGACTAAAAACAATGAATGATATTTTTTCGTTGAATAATTAAATTAAATTTTTATATTTGAAGTGATTTTGAATATAATTTAATAAATTAAGGCATTAATAACCTCTCATAAATTATATTTTTCATATTTTATCAGGTATTATTAAGATAACTTATTTAATGGTCGATAATCTAGAGCAGTCAATTTCAAGTTTTGTAAATCTAATTTATAAATTGTATTTTAAGATCATTTCATACTTTTGTAAATAAAAATTTTCATTTTATTTTAATAATAAGATTTAATTTCTAATCTTTTAACCCATCAAATTCATAAACTCCAAATTTATTAACTTTACTGACATATATTTACTTGAAAGTTTTTATTTTTCAAAATTCACAATTTTCAAATATTACAAAGAACAACATAACACGTTAAGAATAAGATAAACTATCAAGTAACCGAAAGAGAAAAAAAATAAACCTAAAAGTCAACATTGATGGGCTCATTTTAATATAAATATGTCTTTAACTTAATTAACATAACCTAGCTTAACTTATAAACAAATAATGATGAGATAATATGTGATTAAAATTAAATAAATGTCGCTTCCAAGTAATTCAGCTGCTTTGCAAGTCAGACCAGTTTTTGCAATTAACTATTTATATTGCAATTAATTACTATAGCTTTTTAAAATAAAAATTGTGAAAGTTGAAAATGTTAATTCATTTTGCTTTCTTTAATAGAGATGTCATCCATATTTGAAAAATAGCAAATTAAAGACAATAAATTATCACTTTGGTCTTTATAATTTGGGAGTAGTTTCACTTTTGTTTTTATAATTTTATTTTTTTAAAATTTAATATCTATATGATTTTTCAACTTAATCTCCATAGTTTCATAAATGGTACTTAAACCATTTTTTACCCCCTAAAAAATTTATCTTTTTTCTCTTATTTTTTACTACACCTTAAAATTAATTAATTAGCCAGTATTAAGGGTAAATAAATGAGTAGTTGTCTTAAAAGTAAATCAATTGAAATTTTACACCGAATGAAATTTTGAACTTATAACTTATAAGAGAGGTATTTATATCAATAGAGCTATATTTTGGTCAGTCAAAACTGTAACTATATTTCTTTAAGAACAAAAGAAAGCGAGAAAAAATTAATATTTAAACATCAAGTCACATTTTTTTAGTACAACATCTGAAGTGGGGATCGAACTTACAATCTCTAAGTTGAAGATATATGTCAATTACCGCTAAAATATTCTTATTAAGTTACATTTAATAGCAACTAAACAACAAATTTCATAGTTTTATAGACATAGGGTTAAAATCATATTTTTAAATGAAAACATAATGACGTCTTCATACCCATAAAAGTAACTTCCACGTTGGGTCTATGTATATATTTCATTGTGTGTGATAGTGCCTGATTATTTACTCAATGCAAAATATATATATATATATATATATATATATATATTAAATTAAATTAAATTAAATTAATAATTAATTAATAAAACAATACAAACCATCAATAAGAAGCCACATAAGCAAAGTTACATCGTCATAAATACATGCCTAATTACGTTTTCCCGTCATTAACAAAACTTCGATTGCATCCAAAAACAAAAAAAAACTTCATATTTAAAGACTTAATTTTGAACCATTTTTCTATAAACATTGCATAAAAAACTAATGTAGTAATTAGCGTTCATTATTAATTATTCAAAATCTAAAACCACTCGTCATGAAAAAAAGAAAGATTATTTACACCCATATATTTAATCTCACAGGCGAATTTCTATAGGTTCGAGCTCGAAATTTCTTCAACTTTGAAATTATCTATTATTACTTAATAGTTTACTCTAAACTTGTCCCTTTGCCCCTTAGTTCAGTGACACGCTCAATCTAGTTTGAGTTTTCTTTAGTTTTTATTTATTTTTATTTTAGTAGAATTTGCTAAATATACAATATACAATTCTTTTTATTCATTACAACAAATATATGAAAACTTTTTTATTTAAAGTAAAGAATTTAAATTTTTATATTTTGTAAATTTACTATATTTCTTTTAAATAATTGCATTATATCCTAAAGTATTTACAAATATAAAATAATAATTAATATATAATATTATATTTTTTGTTTTAATTTTTATATCAAATATAAATTAAACATAAATATTGTAAATTTTTAATAAGTTATTTTTTACAAAATTACTGGCATAAAAACTATGACTCAATTTGATAAGATATATAAATTATATTTCATATATATAAAGTTTTAGATCTGCTATGAGCATGATTTCATAATATGAAAATTCGTAAAGAACAACTTCATTTTATAAATTTTGAGATTGTTAGCTTACAAGTTATTTCAATTAGGTTTTAAGTAAAGTCTTCATGAATTAAAATTTTAGATCCGTCATTGCATCACTTATTGTGATGAATGATGAATTCTAAACTTGACACATGTCATTACTGAAAGAGCACAATTATGTGTCTCTAAACTATAAACTAAATGACGGAATTAAAGCCTAGTTAGCCGAACTCTTAATGCCTTGGATGGAAACTACCCAACTGCACTGTTAACCACTAAGCGGATTCTACGTCGAGTATCCCGTGGTATGGTAATGTGCGTGATCTTCGAGTGGTTGCAACCAAATCTATCATTTTTATAAATATCAAAGGTAACAGTAAAACGAGGTACACGCAAATTTGATTATTCATTTGAATTTGACAACAACGAATAACTGATTGAGACATTGCAATGCCAATACTCTATTTTGGAGGAATCTAATTGCTTACTACTTAGATTAGGTTTGAGTGCTTTGATCAAAATTTGGCCGAAACATATTGCACAAAGATTGAAACAAATTTTCATGTCGACATCTATTTCCTAAGGTAAATGAACAGAAGACGGGTTTCTATAATATATTTTTAAATAATTTATTAAAAATTAACTACAAATAACTTAAACAATTATTTTAATATAAAATGAAGATATTAACGAATCATTTGTAGAGAGAGAGAGAGCATTAAAGATGAGCAGAAAAAAAGTCATATGGAAGAATAAATGGGCACCGGAGTGGGCGAGTGTGGTTGTATATGGCCCCAAAAGTCAAATTTACTTTTTTAACCAACCCCCCCAAAAAAAANTTATTTTTTAATAAAATAAAAACAAGTTCTACAACAAAACTTATATGTTATGGTTGAAAAAATGAGCTAAAATTACAAATTTAGGGTAAATTTTCAATTTTATTTCTATGATTTGTGTTTAGTTTTAATTTTGTTTTTATGGTTTTAAACCTTTCAATTTTATCTCTATAATTTAAGCTTAATTTTAATTTGATTATTGGACTAAATCGCATCTCTATATTATGTTTTACCTACTAAAAATGTCATTTTTTTTAATTTTTTATATAGTCATAAATTCTAATATAGTTAACTAACCTGGTTTACTCAGATAAGATAAAAAATTGTCATGTGAAAAAAATGGTCAATATGGTAATTGAAATGACGATGGGTAAAATTTGACTAAATCATAGTGACTAAATTGAAAATTTTAAGATCATAGAACCAAGTTAAAACTTCGAGCCAAATTTGTAATTTAATAAAAAAAATTACATAACATTTGTAATCTTTTTAAATATTACGCAAATGTTGTTAATGGTTGATATAGTCTTTTTGAAATATGTAATTTCATTACGTCATTTGGTAAAATTTTCTAAAAAGAACCCCCCTTTTATTATTTTTCAATCTTCATATTTGAATGGGGTGATTATTCAATTTTGTTATTGGACCACTTGAATGACTACAGTGTTATATATGATGTCATAAAATATATAAACAGTGACAATTAAATTCAAAATTTTCGATAAATAATGCTCTTAAATATACATCGTCAAATCCTTTCTTTTTTCTTTCAAAAGAAAAACCATTTTTTCACTTATTAGAATTTCAGCCTCTTCATCATAACACAAACATTTTTTTCCCTCTTTTGTTGGTCATTTTTGTCATTAATTAAAAAAAAAAAGTAGTCTTCGGAGTTAAGCATATTTATTTATTTTGTTTGGTTGAAAAATATTTTAAAGGATTCGTCATAATTCTTATTCTTTAATTAAATAATATTCTAAAACATTCATTTTGTGACATTAGGTTGAGACAACTAGTTGACATTTAGTTTAAAAGTTGTGTCAATAACCAAATAGTTGACTATTAAAAATTTAAATTAAGTAAAACAATGGAGGGGATCACAATGAAGAAATTGAATTTTTAGGTAAAATTATAAACAAGTTTGGATAAGGAGGATAGAATTTTACGGATTAAGATTTTTCAATAATAAAAGAAGTATTAGTATTGAAATGTCATTTGCTATCTACTTACTTTTTAAGAAATCAATAAAATACATATATTTCTTTATACAAAGTTGACAGAACTTGTCCATTTTCTTCGCGAGATTGAATAATTTTAAATTTTTTTCCTATAAACTTTTATCTTGCAAAGTAAATTTTTATCAAGATGAATCCGCGCTAAATTTTGAATAACACTGCATGAAAAATCCAATCCTTCAAACCAATTTATTATCAACATATCATTAAAGCCAGTGTCAAGTTGCCAACTTATTGCCAAGTTGGAAATATGATGGGCAATAAATTTTATTCACATCTTGTAGCTATATAAATGTATAGGAAACAAAAATTAAAATTAAAATATTTTATTTCTGAGGAAAAAGAGAAATGTAAAAAAATTGAGATTGTAATAAATTAAAATGATATAAATCGTCAGCTACGTGGACTTTCCACTGAATATGAAGATAGCACGAAATGTTCCGCAGCTGAAAAAGCCCCAAATACGGAACTTAGAGAGAAATTCAGACAAGACACACACAGATACGCTCCAATTTTATCAATGGCGAAGAAGGAAGACTCTGCCAGAGCTCCGCTGCAGCGCCCCACCATTACTCTGCCGCCGCGCCCTTCCATGGAGGCCTTCTTCTCCGGCGGACCTACCGGGGTTAGCCCTGGCCCTATGACGCTCGTCTCCAGCTTCTTCGCCGATGGTGCCGTTGACTCTCCCTCCTTCTCTCAGCTTCTCGCCGGAGCCATGGGGTCGCCGATGGCTATGGGTTTCTTGGGGAGCGGGTCCACCCCCAATTATTACGCCAAGGATGGGGGCGCCTCCGAGATGGAATTCGGCTTGAACAAGCACACCAAACCGCTCAATTTGGTGGTTGCTCGCTCTCCTCTGTTCACCGTCCCGCCTGGCCTCTCCCCATCCGGATTGCTTAATTCGCCGGGGTTTTTTCCTCCTCAGGTATAAAAGTACCAATTTTCTCTTTATCGAGGGCTTTTTCTGTGTTCTGCGGCGGGAAAATTGGTCTTGAATCCTTCATTATTTATCTGTCCTCTTCCTAATTTAATGGTGGGCCTGGTTAGATGAACTGGGTATCTGTTAACCAGTGGCGAATTGGTAAAATATATTGTTCATGTTTTCTTTTCAAAATTGAAGTTCCTTTTGGAGGGGTTATTCAATCTCTCATGTTGAGGTCGATTGTTTGTTGAAATTGAAGTTCCTTGTTTTGAATTGAGGTGGGATTTTTGCAGAAATGAAATTGCCGAAATTTGCGGCAAAACTTGTTGATTTATCCCTCTCTCTCTCTATATATCTTTCTACTAAAGAAAAACATGTTTGGATAATGTTTGAATTCATGAAATCTTGCATATAGGTAAAATGTTTTATTATGGTGGTAACCTTTGAGTTGGATTTGGGATTATGAACAAAAAAACGGTATCAATGGAGCTTAGAGAGTCTATTAAAACTAACCTTCAGATATCTATATTACCTCAACGATGTTAATTTTTGTTTAGTTAAATTACAATTTTGGTCCTTTAAAATTTAGGAATGAGTCTATTTAGTTCTTGCACTTTAAAGAGTTACTATGCGTGAAATATAATCCCAAATTACCCGCCCAAATATAGTAAATCAAGAAGGCGGTCAGATTGAAGTGAAGTTTCCCAACAGCGTAAAGCTTGGGAATATGCCCTTAAGCTTTGAAGGTTGTATCTATACTTGTATTTAAAGAATTTCATACCAAGTTTTTGAGCTTTTGATTATGTATCTGATAGTTCTAGGTCGTTAACTCCCTTAGTTTGACCCTACGTGACACATTGACTATATTATTTAAAGATTATGCGACAAGCTGATTTTAGGTAGTTGGTGGCGTAAGCGATAAATTGATGGAGTTAGCAACAATGACATATTGGAGACATAATAAAATTTAAGTTCCTATTAGAATCTTTTCAAAGTATAGAGACTAAATAGACACACCTTTAAAAGTTGAGGGGTCTATTAAATTTTTTTTAAAATATAGGGACTAAATAGACAATCTTGTAGTCTAGTACATCTTTTAATTTAAGCATTTTTTTTGTACTTCTTTACGAGTATTAATTTCTTAGGTGCTTAAACTACAAGAGGGTAATCACTTTAAAACAACTTTTTAGATAATCATCTTGTTTCTTCAAAAATAGATTTTAAAGCAATCCAATCTTTCTAAAAGTGTTTTTTGTTTATTACCAAACAGTGTGTATTTTTAAAAAAGTGTTTTTAGTTATCTAAAATCACTTAAAAAACAATAATAAACACACTCTAAATTAGTAATTCTTTCAAAGGTACAGGTAAAAAAGGTTGTTTTCTTTAAAAAAGTAATTTTCTCAATAGTCATCCTATTATAATATAACATTTTAGTTATAATAATATCTTGTTTCGTGTATCATAAAAGGATAATCAGATTTTGAATTATGATAGTTTGTTGAACTTACTACAAAGGCAGTAACTTGTACTGTTTGAGGCTTTTATTCATCTGTTGATTGAATTCCTTGCAGAGTCCATTCGGARTGTCGCACCAGCAGGCATTGGCTCAGGTTACTGCTCAAGCGGCACTGGCGCATTCTCATATGCATATGCAGCAAGCTGAGTATCAACATTCTTCGGTGCCAGCTCCTACAGAATCGTTGAGACGTGATCCATCATTTACTCTCGATGAACCATCTCAACAGTCAATATTACCCTCTACATCAGACACAAAAAGTTTCATTGCGGAATCAACAGAGGTCTCTCATTCTGATAGAAAATATCAGCCTCCTCCTCCTTCCCATGCCTCTGATAAACCTGCTGATGATGGCTATAACTGGCGTAAATATGGGCAGAAGCTGGTTAAGGGCAGTGAATTTCCACGAAGCTATTACAAATGCACACATTTGAATTGCCCCGTCAAGAAGAAGATCGAGCGTTCACCTGATGGTCAAATAACTGAAATTATTTACAAAGGCCAGCACAACCATGAACCTCCTCCAGCCAACAAACGTGCTAGAGATAATAGTGAACCAACTGGGTGTACAAATTCTTCAATGAAGCTTGAATACGGTTCGCAAAATCAAGCTGGAAATTTTAACAAGTCAAGTGAAAACGTGCAATTAGGGTCTAGTGACAGTGAAGAACAAGCTGATACAGAGGTAACAGATGACAGAGGTGAAGATGAGCCAAATCCAAAGAGGCAGTATGTGTGAAAAATATTTATAGTTGATTTGTTACAGTGTATCTATATTGATTTTGTTGTAGGTGAAAAAACTAAAATCTTTGCGGTTTTGCCTCGCGAGTGCAGGAACATCGATGCAGGGACATCTGCTGTTGCTTTGTCACATAAGACGCTCACAGAACCAAAAATCATTGTTCAAACGAGAAGTGAGGTTGACCTGTTAGATGACGGTTATAGGTGGCGCAAGTATGGGCAGAAAGTGGTTAAAGGAAATCCTAACCCTAGGTAGTTACTCTATCTTCTAGTTTTTGTCTTGGTTCTTTTCTTTCTAATTTTATTTTTTAAAATAGTGGATGGTAATCGAAAATTATTAGACTATTCATATTATCTGCAAGCATAAGCTCACCCCTTGACATATCATTACCTCAGAAATCACTATCATTCCCTATGATAAGCATCCTATTTTTCTGCTCTGAACTTTTTGCATTCTTACATCTCTGATCTTGTCATCTTGACGGTTTTGAAGGTCATAAGATGATCCATGGGTCATCATTTTCTTGTAACTTCTATTTTTTTATTTGATGAATTATGATTGCTATAACAAAGACTGGCTGAAACTTCAATGTATCATGTTATTGGCAAATGGAAGATGGTTCTGATGTAACTTGTCATTTTTTTTATTCTATGCCTTTGAAGTTTGACCAACTTGCTTGTTTTGAAGGATCCTGGATTCTCCTGTTGGACAGCATCTTGTTAGTTTTTATTTTGAGCTATCTTTGTCTATTGGCTCCCCACAACTCCAGCTGGCTTAAATTTTTTCTGTTCAATTGAGCAAATAACTTTTCTGTTCAATTGCCTCCTTTTGTTTGTAAAAGATTGGTAAATGGTAGTAAAATTTGAAGTCTTTGCATGGATATCTGACCTTACCGATGGACGTCTGGTGAAAGACAAGACTGTCTTTTTCCTGATTCACGTTTCTTATTTTATTGAGGCAATTGGATAAATGTATAAAATAAATATTCATTTTTAAATATAGTAGAAAGTTTAAAATTTTATAAAAATAACACGAACTCGAATGTACTGTACAACACGCTAAAAGAAGTATAACTTATACTATGTTTGAAAAGAATGAAAAGTTGTGACATTTTAAAATACATATAATTTATCTATTTTATTTTACTTCTTTAAAAGTCAGACCCATTTTCTTGAATCCTGTTCTGATATCCTATTTAGGATGGAGTTGTGATCATGTCATGTTCTCTTAACATTTTTTTTTTTAATTCGTTTTTGGGGTTTCCTTCTGTCATTAGTGTTTGATCAGCCAACAGACTTCTGAGGCGAAAAGTCATCTGTGTCAAAATTTTTACAGTGACCAAAGTTTGTTGTTTATTGCAACTAGGATGACAATTTCTTCTGACACATTTTAACCTGTCAACAGGAGCTACTACAAATGCACCAGTGCCGGGTGTAACGTGCGGAAGCATGTCGAGAGGTCTTCAACAGACTCAAAAGCTGTTGTAACTACATACGAGGGGAAACACAACCACGATGTTCCTGCAGCCAGAAACAGCAGCCACCACACAGTCAACAATACTGTACCGCAGATCAAACCACATAAAGTTGTAGCTCAGAAACACCCATTACTTAAAGAGAGGGAATTCGGAACCAATGACCAGAGACCTGCTGTTTTGCGGCTTAAAGAAGAGCAAATCACCGTGTAAAGTGCTACGCCGTGCAACCAGGTCAGTAGTCGATTTCAAGTGACTAACCAGTTACAAAAATGGAAAAAAGGAAAAAAATTACTGCCAGTCACGTGGAATTCAAATTTGATAGTCTGTGTATGTGTTTTAGTTGAAAGAGCTAGCCATTTTCCTTATGCCTTCCTGCAATTTACATCCCAAAACTGTTCTCTATAATGCTGATGCCAAGGAGATACAATACAAGGAAGGACAGTCAGACTGATATATTATATGATGAAAACAATGTTCTTACTTCTGTTTATTTCTGCTTCCCGAGGCTGTTTCACCATTGGAGCTGAGGTGAAAAGTATATATACTGCATCTTACAAGGTATAGGAAGTGGAGTAACCTTCCCCTGTAATTTTAGAAACCTGTTGTGTAGTGTGACTGCAAAATTCAAACCAGACATTGTTATTATATTTATGTACTGTAAAATTTCATTGTTTTTGTAGTTCAGTTTATACCAAAATATGAACTGTACAAATTGTAGTTGTGTGTATAAAATTGAGAATCTTGATATTGTTTCTTGCAAGACGAGTAGTTTTATACAGTTGCATTGGGAAAGATGCTGTATACATCTCTGCATTTGGTTGTGATTGTGAAAGACAGTGAAAAGGTTGGATTTTAAAGTGGCCCTTGTTGCATTTTGCCTATTGCTTTATGTTCCATCACAACAGATTTTTTTTCCCCTTTTTCTGAATGTTCAAGTGGAAAGAAGACCTGGTTTGATTGATGACAGATGGTCATCATACCTACTTTTAATATTCTTGACTGGCTCATGAGTCAGATTTGTATAGTTTTGTGATATGAAAATGGAACCTTCATCTAAATAAATTTGCTTAATCTAAATTATGGGTTTGTTAATCTTATGATCTCGACGACTACATACACCTAAATTTTTTATATTTCTCTGGGTTTCTTATATCTTCACTTTCTCGACGGAGAGACAAAGGAGGGGATTCCTAAAATGTTGTTCTCTTTGTTGTAGATGTCGATGGATATTTCCATAAAAGTTGTAGAAATTAAAAAATTGTAAAAAATATTTAAATTGACAAGTAACCATTTTTCTATTTTTAAATAAGTTAAAAAATAATTAATATTAATATTATATATATGTTAGTGACATTTTGTTGATATTTTTCATGTTTTGTCGATTTTTTTATACTATGATGGAAATGTCGATTTACCCTCTCATGACGATGTCGAACCCATGAAAACATGGACATGTCGATGGAAATGTCGACGTGTCGACGAATATTTAGAATAATGATGTTAGCATCATCTTTTAATAAACAAAATCGATTTTTATTCTCCTTCTTAACTTCAACTTTCTTTGTTTTCTTTTCTAAGCTCTTAAATTGTTGGCTTATTCTATATATTAGCATCATCTTTTAATAAACAAATTCGATTTTTGTTCTCCATTCTTAACTTCAACTTTTTAATCTCATCAAATTGGGTCTTAAGTTTGGATAAGAATTCCATTTAATTTTTTTAAAAATGGAGTTGGTGGGTTTTACAAAAATCAAATTGAGATAATAGTATTACAGTTGAAGGTTAAAATTGGGATGGTCTATAACTTCCATTGTTCTATAATAGATGTATCGTTGAAGTTTTTAGGAAAAAAAAAAAAACTTTAGTAGGAATTCTTGCTGTTGTAAAGCTCAATTGCATCTCAATTTTGGTGTCTCATTACATCTCCATCACATTTCGGAAGCTTTCTTGTAAAGAAGACAACCTTCATCAAATTGGATTAAGATTTTTCCTGAAATAATTAATAATAGAAAAGAAATTGCCAGTTTGTCCGTTTTTTTTTCCTGTCTTGGAATGTTTACCAATATTTGTTTGTGCTTGAGAGTGAATTTAGGAAATTTGCATGTTTTTTGCCAAATTTTTTATGTTGTAAAACATGATTTTTACGCGTATGACGGTTGGGTTACTATAAATAAATTGCATTTACCCAAAATATAGACCAGTTCAACATAATACCGATGTAATTAATATCTCATGGAAGTCACTCTAATGACATAAGATTGGACACAATAATATGCTTATCTCGTCTAAAATTAACCATTCATAAGAAAAGACAGTGAAAATGAAAATGAATATGACTTAGCTGTAATGGACATATATCTCAAATCAATTTTATCTCGTGCTCAAAAAATAAAAAAAAAAAATCATAAAAAACACGTCTTATGTTAGGAAACAATTAACATATTTTGAAAATTTTCATGCACAATGGAGAAGTAGTTCCTGAATGATTGAAATCAATCTCCAACCTGACTTGAAAATCTCGTTTTAACAACTTACCCAACTTGATTAAGGATTTAGGTCCAAGTAAAGAAAAAAAATAGAAAATTTTGAGTAAGTTACAAACTTTTTTTTTTGTCTGGTGGTATCAGTCTAATCTATTCAACAACAATACTGAGAAATAGTTGAGAGAGGACAGGGAAATATAGTTAAAGAAAAGTATAATGTTGCAATGAGGGTGAGTGCAATGGTTGTAATGATTATCTGAAAAGATGTAAAAGCAACGAGTGAAACTGAGGAAGGAAAAAGCAAAAAGGGATGAGCCGAAAGAGGGTTTTTGTGTGTGATTCTCTGTTCCTGGTTTCTTTCTCCTTCAAATGAATGAGTGAGAGCAGAGGCACCCAAATCCAAGTAAAGGAAGAGAAATGGAAAGGGTTTTTTTGGTGTGGTGGTAAATTTGTAATGGTGGAGTAGTGAGAGGAGTGAGAGCAGAAGGAACAGGAACAGAAACAGGAAGTGGAATTGGGAACTGGGGAATTTGTTAAGAGAAAGAAAAGGGGCATGAAACGGTTAGAATTGGAATTCCGAGAAAAAGAAAAAGAAAAAGAGAAAGGGGGAGAGAAGAAGCAGTTAGGACCCACGAATGTTTGTGTCTTCATCCTGTGGTTTGGGGGCGTTTTGTGAGGGAACCCATTTGGCCAATTCCAATTCCTCCGCAGATCTCGCAAATGGAAGGTCCAAAAATGGGTGTGTATTTTCTTTATGGGATTTGAAGGAATTTCCCCGTTCTTTTTTTCCGCCCGCACCTCCTAATGCCGACCCTCTTCAGCTGGTGGATGTAGGGGTCCCATTCCCCCTCGCTGAGCCCATTTCCCGATCGTCGATGCTATCGGGATTTGGTGGTTCATGGGTTGCATTAGCTCCAAGAGCGTAAAGGCGGCGGCGGCGTCTCCCGTTCACCGCTATCCCACCGCCACCGCCCCCGCCACCGCCGGTAATGGCTCCTTGACCCTGGATCCTTCCTCCAGGAACCAATCGGCGACGGCGCTCGACCATGACAGGAAAGGGGAGGACAAGCCGGAGGATCGGGGTCGAGAGCTCAGAAAGTCGAAGAAAGAGAGCTCCCAAGGGAAGGGTTCTTTTAGCTTCAGATTAGGCTTTTCTCAACGGTACGTCGAAGCCGAGCAGGCCGCCGCCGGGTGGCCCTCCTGGCTCAGTAGCGCCGCCGGCGAGGCCATTCAGGGATGGGTTCCTCTCCGGGCTGATTCCTTTGAGAAGTTGGAGAAGGTAGGAGACTGCTCTCTTTTTTTTATTTCTTCTTTTTCTTTTTCTGGTGCATGCATGATTCTTCATTTTTGTTGTCCTCAAACCAATACAAAAGTTCTTTATAATTTTACTCTCAAGGCAACAAAATTTCATACATTGTTTGTTACTGTATTTATCTTGCCTGTTTTAGTAGGAAGATGGATGTGGTGGATTGTTGAGCGTTCTAAGAGGGGTAAAATCCCATTCCCAGATGACATCATAAAGAAGGTTATTTGAATTTTTCCTCAAGAGTTAAATCATTGATCAATATGAAGAGCCATCATCCCATTGAAAAAAATTAGAATATTACCATAAAAAGGCTCAACTTCCTAGAGATTGATTCTTATTCTACCCAAAATAAGGTTAAAAGGGCCAACTTCTTAGAGATTGGTTCATTCTGTGCAGCTGTTAAAATGGTCAATATGCCATCCAGTTATGGCTTTTGGAGTGGAGGGCTTCTGGATCAAGGTCTCGATTATATGAAAACATCAATAGAAATACCCATGGACAAAAATTCAATAGCATTTATAGCTCTGCAAGTTGAATAACTACAGATATCCAAAACATGTGCAATCTGTAAATGATCTTTGTAATGCCTTTTTTCTTCATGTTCACTGGATATACTGAAAGCGTCTACTTGTACGCATATTTGCCTGGAAAATATCAAGAAAGTTCTGTTTTTTTGAATTAGATTGGACAAGGTACGTACAGCAGCGTATTCCGTGCTCGACAAGTTGAAACAGGAAGGATGGTTGCGTTGAAGAAGGTTCGTTTCGACAATTTTCAACCAGAGAGCATTAGGTTCATGGCACGAGAAATAATGATTTTGCGCAGGCTTGATCACCCAAACATCATGCAATTAGAAGGCATAATTACTTCCAAAATGTCTAGCAGCATATACCTTGTATTTGAATACATGGAACATGATCTTGCAGGGCTAGTCTCGTGTCCTGAAATCAAGTTCAGTGAGGCTCAGGTTGGTTAGTTTCTGCATTGCCAATATTCTTTTGTGTTCTCCATCTGCTGCTGACTATAATTACGAAATTTCATTGAAAATAATCTCATTTGCAGATAAAGTGTTATATGAGGCAGCTGCTATCTGCAATTGAGCACTGTCACCTTCGGGGTATAATGCATAGGGACATTAAAGCATCCAATATTTTGGTAAACAACGAAGGAATTCTCAAGTTGGCGGATTTTGGATTAGCAAACGTCATCAACTCAAGAAACAAGCAGGTGCTAACCAGTCGAGTAGTGACGTTGTGGTATCGCCCTCCTGAGCTTCTGATGGGTTCGACAGATTACGGATTAACTGTGGACCTATGGAGCATAGGATGTGTATTTGCGGAATTGCACCTGGGAAAGCCTGTACTTAAAGGAAGAACCGAGGTAATAATAATGCATGCTTGTTCTACATCGAAAAGTCCATATCTTTTTGTTGTTTGTTGTTGCTTAATGTTTGATCTGAACATCAAATGAACAACAAAACAGGTTGAACAATTGCACAAAATATTCAAACTTTGTGGTTCCCCAGCTGAAGAGTTCTGGAAAAAAACAAAGCTTCCTCATGCAGCTATGTTCAGACCCCAACATGCATATGAAAGTTCCCTTCATGAAAAGTGTAAAGATTTTGCACCATCTGCAGTGAGCCTCTTAGAAACTTTTCTTGCCATAGAACCTTACAAGCGCGGGACCGCCTCATCTGCTCTCATGTCTGAGGTAACTCTTGCCTTCATACTCAACTCCAAAAGTATCATTAAATACCCAAGCTTTGGGTGATGTTGTTATGAATTCTTAGGCATTGAGACTTGCCCTCCAGAAAACTATCACTCAAATATACAGTTGGGGCTCATACTCAGCGTTTTTTTCCAGTATTTCAGAACAAAGCCATGTGCTTGCGATCCGTCTACCTTGCCCAAGTATCCACCAAACAAAGAAATGGATGCTAAGAATCGTGAAGATGCACGAAGGTAATCTATTCACTCTCTAACAGTACTTGATTATAATATCTTCGACCTACACCTATCATATCAATATGCATATACTTGCAGGAAGAGGGCAAATGCAAGAGCAAAAGAGACTGGAGCAACACAAAGGCCTAGAAGAGTCAGAAGAAATTTGCAAGAATTTAACAGCCATAAAGTCACAATAAAAGAGGTTTCCTTATCAACTACTATTCCCCTTCCCACGTTACTCTCAAATCTATTACTAACTTTTCTGGCAAACTTAAGCTGCAGGAAACCGATGAAAATATTCAATACCAGCGAAATGGCGGGAATACTGCTAATCTTCCGAAAGAACATGGCGACGTTTTCAAGAGAGAGCCGCAGAAGCCAACATATGATACAAAATCAGAGGCTTCCCAGGCCCTGACTGGAACAAATCAAGGAGATAGTGCATTCACAGCCCCATTACCGGTTTCAGCTTCTAGTGGCTTTGCTTGGGTAAAGAAGCGAAAAGAGGAAGCTACGTCCACAATATCAGATGGTCTCAAGAGCCAAATAAGTGCTTTGGATCCATCTTTTGCAAATTACACCATCGATTTAACAAAATATCAGAATGGATATAAGAAAATTCCAGCCAATTATGAAAGCTATGGCACGCAGGACTCTACGGCCTACGAAATTCAGAAGCAGCAAAGGAGAAAATATGATTTCCCCGATTCTTTTGATGCAACTGTAGACTACCCATTCCTGGACATGTCCAATGAACTCTCTCCGAAGCCACAGTCCATTCTCACGACCCATCTGGTAAACAAGCCTCCATTAACAGATCAAACCTATAATGGGCTTAAAACTTCCTTCAGAGCTAACAGTTGATGTTGTTCTCGTAAATGAACAGGGCCACGATGATGATCAAGAATCGCACATTGAATTCTCAGGACCACTGCTAACACAACCCCATAGTGTAGATGAACTCCTGCAGAGAAACGAAAGCCACATCCGACGAGTGGCTCGGAAATCCAGATTCGAAAGAGGTATTGTATTATAAGGAATTTTCTTCTTTCTTGCCAAATTAACGATTGAAGAGCCTTTTACTCTTGTTTCCAGATAAATGATGCACGAATTTTCCGGCGCAATAGTCAGATAGAGGTACATAAACCATACTTAGCAGTTCCAACAATCTCATGTGGCGTCCACAAGGAGCTCAAAAATGGCATTTGCTACCGACACCAATCCAACACAAAAGGAAGCAGAAGAGAAGAAGCTTCTACAGATATACATACATTTGTTTGAGAAACTCAGACACGTTGAATGAAAAATTCCGTCGGATGCAATTGATCAATTTTTTTGGAATCGTGATTCTACTTTCTGCTTCTTTCCTATTATCTGAAACCCGAAAACATATACATACATATATAATACCAATTCCAATTTATTTTAGTCCGATTTATAAAATTAAAACACAAAAAAAAAAACAATCTTTCATATAAAGAAGAAAAAAAGAAAGAAACCCCAAAAAATTTCCTTGCAGATATCTAAGGAAGCGTTAAAAAATCCCTAATTAAAGAACGGACTCGTATTTACAGCAATCAGGGTAAAATCGAGTTCCGACTGCGAGTTGTACAACGATTAAGAAGTGTGAGGAAGAAAAATGATGGGAAAGGGAAGAGAAAATGGAGGATTTGGATGTAGGGCGAAACCCATCGCTTTGACTGCGGATGCTGGAGCAGTAAAGCGGCCATGGAAGCCCGAAATGTAAGCCCAACGCACTGGTGGTGCGCCACAATTTGAAAAACCTCTCCCTGTGGAATACCACGCCACCCCTAACTCAAGAGGGAAGCGCTCGGCCTCGGGCTTTTTTTTCTGCTTTCTTCATCTCCGTCTCCATTTATTACCAACCTTCGAAACCCTAATCCTCGTAATTCCATTTTTGTCCTTTGCCTTTTCTCTTATTCGCCCATTAATCCTCGTCCAATTCTTTTGTTTCTTGCACAGTCCTACCACGCTGCGGATGTTTTAATTTGATGTCAACGTAGATGAAAATTGTAAAAGATATTTAAATTAACAGATAAATATTTTACTATTTTTAAATAAGTTAAAATTTATTAATATTAATATTATGTATATTTCGGTGATATTTTGTTTATATATTTTTTATTTTGTTGATTTTTTTTACTATGATAGAAATGTTGATTTACTCTTTAGGTCGACGTTGAACTCATAGATATGACATGTTGATGGATATTTAATATAAAGATTATATGTGATTTTATATTCAAAATTTTTAGGTTTATTTTTAAGATTCAATTTTTAATTTTATTAGAAGGTATTAAATATTTGTCGACATGTTAACATTTCTATAGATATTTCTATGTACTCATGGATTCAAGATAGATTGACATGTCACAATATTACAAAAAAAATCGATAAAATATAAAAATATTAATAAAATATCACTAATATAGGCATAACATTAATAATAATCCTGTTAAACCTATTAGAAAAGTGTAAAATGCTTTGTTATTATTTTTTTTTTGAATTTTTTTTTTCATAATATTCTTGAAAACATCCTCAACATTTTTATCAATATTCCCATCAACATTTCTATGGAAAAATTGAGGCCTAAATAATTCGACCCGAATTTGAAATTTAGAACCTTTATTCAGATGTATGTATATTTTCAACGGCACATGTAGATTGATAATTTTCATTCGGATATGTACCTCAAGCCATGAGGTTCTGAGTTCGATCCCCCAACATGAAACAACTGATACTAATGGTTACATTGAACTTAACTTGACAATCTGATTATTGGTACTGATCAAAATATTGAGTTTGATATTTAAACATCTTTTAAAGTTAAAAAGTTTAGGTATCGACCTTATATCTAAATTGAAATCAATCACTAATAGCCGTATATTTTGCACGTCCACAAAAAAAAAGAGAAAAATAGCCATATGTTTTGATAATAACTTTCTATTTATTTTAGAGTGGAAAACTTCGCGATCGGTTTAATTGAAACTACAATAGAAATTTTGAAAATTGAAATTCTGTTTTAGTAATTTAACTTTCATATTATTATGCTTTCAAATATTATATTCTGGAAAGGTTATTAATCACTTAAGCATTGGTTATATATTGCATTTAGCAAACATACTAGAGTTTAAAGCCACATATATTGAGTTTGACATCAAATTAAAGATATAGAATGAACCAACTGTTTAAAGAAAGAATAATGATTAACAAAACAAACGTATAAGTTCTAAAATAAAATCCATGTCAAATTTTATTTGTAGACTAAATGCCCATGATTAACTCACAAGAATAATAATAATAATAATAATAATAATAATAATAACACATAGGTCATTGCATACATTTTTTTTTCAATATTACAATTCAAATAAAATGATGAGAATTTGAATATGCTACTCATAAGGAAGATTATTGATGTCTTGAGTTGAGTTATGCTCTGATCTGCATTTCAAATAAATTATTGGCTCTTATTATCAGGACAATGTAATAAACATATACAGTGAGAAAAGGGGTGTAAACTGTTAACATGGCATCGAGGCATTGCCCAGTGCAGGCTTGCTTCTGGGTTGGGAAGAAGAAGAGTGATTTACTGGCCAAAAACTCGAGGATACTTTCGTATTATATAGAAGAACCAGAGGGGCGGTATTTCGGTGTGTTGAAAACAGATGCCATCTACCTGCTTTTGTAGAGCAGCTCCAGTAACGACATGTCGTGGCAAATCGAGAAATGTACTGTACTATCGATCAGTATCAATCTTCTTCAGGGGTCACTAATGTGGGAATGTCATGACCCATAAAATCAATCTTATTCAGCCTCACACAACACAGAACTTGCTCTGGCAGTTCTTCAGGTTTTTGTGCCTGTTATAATTGTCAACACAGAAGCAATTCTAAGTACAAAAAAAAGACTTGGTTTGACTGAGTAACACTATTTCTTCCTACTCTACCCTATCAATGCATTTGTAAACTGCTGTCTTAGCAGTGCACCATTTCTACGTGAGTGGTGAATTTATATCTCGTGTAAAGGATGAACATGAACTGCATTATTCTCTCCCTTTCTGATTGATGTGGAAAAAATACTCCATAACTAGAATAGAAAGAGTGCAATGGTGTCGAGTATATACCTGGATGGTTAGACCAAGATCGAGTATTCCATGTTTCAAACGTTCTCGGAATGATTCAAGTCCCTTTCTTGATATGTAGCTGAAACGATGAATGTCAAGATCTATCTCGAAGTAATTTTGTCCCTGCATTTGTGAAAAGATGGTTTAAAAATTTTGAAGTACTTCCAGATAACTTACAAGAAATATGGCAGTTGAGAATTACATCCTTCCTTCCTTTCTATTCTCCTTTATTCGACATTTTATGTAATGTACTTCTGTTTGAAACGAAACTCATTACACATCTTACTCTACTACCCTTAGCTCAAAGTCTCTCGGAATCTCAATCCCATTACAAAATACAAACATATTAAGGACTATGCTTCAAGGAGAAACATCCAGAAGAAATATTGTCATTTTTTCCTTGATCTAGATGAATCAGATATTCTTCAGAATATTCATAGGTCATATGTTCAAATGTTTCTTGATATGTACCTTGTAAAAACTGTGCTGAGGCCGTGAAAGGACAGGTTTTTCGTTATAAGCACTAACGAGCTTCCTTTCAGTAGAGCTCAAATGGAGCTCCTCTGGATTAACCACCCCTGCCATAATTTTTAGCCTTTCCCTGAATGGAACAGTAGAATCTTTCGTAAATCCTTTGATTTTTTCCATCTCATCATCAACCAATTTCTGTAGAATAAGCAAAGAGTATCTATGCTGTGAGATATCTTGAAAACCCATGTTGAATGGGAGACCCATTTGGCAACTTAAGAACATAAAAAAGGAGAAAAGGATAGAAAGAGAATGGAGGTAATAAAATTGAAAAGCTCAATGCTTTAGGTGATTATGAAGATTGAAGCAGGAGTATTAAAGCTAATGAACTCAGCAGATTAAAGTAAAAAAGGAATTTACCTTGATACTTTCCTGATAATGAAGAGAGACGTCCTTCTCAAACTTCTCAGAAACTTTGAAATACAAAACAAGACTCATTCCCTCCCCATCACTATCACCAAGGAACATTGCAGCAGGATAAGCGGGCAACTGCAACAAATAAGAAGGATTTTAACTGCTACAAAATTTTAACCTAGAGGAACAATAAAAAATGGAACTTCAGTCGTAAAAGTATAAGTCATGGAAAATGAGTTGAGGAAAAATATTCAGCATAAATGGATTTTTAAGGCAGTATCATTTGCCATAGAGCCGACTTACAGAAAATTTACCTGAATGTTTACAATTAGTAGAGTAGGCACTTTTGCATCAGATTTCACAGAAGGAAGCTCCAGGTGTTGAGCAATGTGATTAATTTTTTTGGGACACATAAATAAATCGACACCAATTGGAACATAAGGACTGGTATTTGGAGCAGGATATTTCTTCTTATCTCTACATGTAAAGATCAGAAGAAAATTATAAGATTCGCAAAGTAAATAACAGACAAGATACAAGTCAAAATCCAGTCACAGGAAAGGATGATATTGAACAAACAAAATGGCATACTTGAAGTAGCTTTCACTACGGAGTTTGAAAGTTGATGGTGGAATCTCGGACCAGCATCCTGGGGTTGGTTTCTCTCCTGAAGAACATGGTATATGTCCGGCTCTAGGACGGTACAGATACTTCTTTGATTCGCCTGTTGCATACCATAAATTAGACAGGTTGTAATTGCTACATTTCGATATACATAGAAAGCATGGGTCCAGGAACGTACATTTTGTATTATTTCCCAAAAATTCAAGTGTCCCAGTTCAAAACAAGCAATTGCCAGCTAACCCTATAATATTTGACAGTTATTTCTTGAATATACTGCCTCACGCTCTATCTAATTCTATGAGATTTTAGTTAAATTGAACTGCCTTTATGACTAAGCATCGGTAATGGAGTTATTTCTGATAAATGTATTTCAACTTTCAGAAACCGAGACGAAGTATTGAAGCCAAAAGGGTATGTGAGGTTTAAATCATATGAACACTCACACTTTTCTATGGTTTCTTCTCCTTCGCATGACCGTCTCTTTAAAGAAAGCCTGAAAACTGCTGACTGCTTTTTGGGTGCCTGAGGAGCCTGAGAATTCAGAATCTTCTCATTGAAACTGAGAGAGGGAACCATACGAGGTAAGGCAGACTTAAACGTATTCTCTTGATTCTTCTCTGTAGAAGTACGCCAATCCTCTTTTATACCTTTGAAGCTGCCATAAGAATGATCTAACATTGACCTCCTCTTGCTGCAAATTTCATGGCCTTGGCTACTTATCAGACCCAATCCGTCCTTGTTCTTGATATTTTCTGATTTTCCTCCATCTATTTTTAGAAAGCTTTCGTGGTATTCTTCATACTTGCACCTATTTTCCAGAAAGCATGATCTTTCGTACTGAACCACTTGGCCACTTGAGATGTTCCCGATTGCATTTCCCACTAATGGAAAACCATCTGGGAAAAACAGATGATGAAACAGTCAATACTCAAAAGCTGAGCCTTAAAATGCTTAAAAAAAGATAAAGAGAAATATAATCTAAACGGTTATGTAAAATTGTTAATCAAACACAGGGCTCCGACTGGTTGTAAAATATTTTCCATAGCCAAAAGCTTCTACCTTACTACGTATATATTTAGAAGAAAATTCCACCATTCATATTACCTCCATGCAAACTACTGAATTCATCGTCTGAATCAGACTCCAGAACGCTGACAGAGTCGAACCAAGCTTCGTCTTGGCCAATTGCTGAAACACGATTTGTGAAAATCACGTTCAATAAGTTAGTAACTTTTTTTTTTACATTGTTCTTAAAATGCTCGAGTGAAATGGCCTGTATTTGAGTTCAGACAAAACAATAGTGAGTCAAACATGGGTCTCAATTTAGACTATATGCTCAGGAAAAGGAAGCATAAAAAGAGTATTTGTGCATTGATATGTTATGGTGCATTTTGAAATCACTATTCATAAGTCCTTGTTTTTCAAAAGAAGCACAACGGAAGCAACTTTTTGAAGGAAAAAGAACCGCTTAAACAAGTTTTCACCAAGTTACTGTTCTCAAAAACAAAAAAGTGCTTCCAGAAACAACTCCCTTACAGCCTTAATCCTAATTTCAATTTTTACATTTAAAAGGTTCGAGAAGATCATATAATAGTTCTATGCATGGTGATTATTTTTTAAAAAATAACGAAATATCATTAACTTGTCAGATGCATTTTAGAAGATCATATCAGAAACCCCAACGACATAATAAGATGTTCTGTAGGAGGGTTGCATAAGTCCAATGGCAAAAAAATTATATAAAATGCTAAAATTGGAGGGAGCATACCATTTCCATCATATTGACTGTGGAGCCATTGTAGCTGGGTGAGGTGAAATGTTGAATTAGAAACCTCTGATCTTCTACAAGTAGTTGTTGTACCACTCTCAAAATCCAAATGAACAAACTCACTGACAGCATAATCAGTTACCCTATTTCCTGCACTGCTCTTCCTTTTTTTGATAGCTCTTGGGATAGAACTCGAAATCTTTTTACCATATTTTCCAAACTGATGATGCAGTTTTTTCCGAGTTCTAATTTTTTTTGACGGTGTTGATACACAGCCTCCCATGATAGCCGTCCAAAGATTGAAACGCGCAATAATTCCAATAAAGAGAAAGGACTTCCTCAAGCTCGATTCACCGAACAAGACACCTGAAAATGGTGCATTCAGTAATCAATTTTGCTTACATATTACATTGTGAGAATGTAAATCTCTTCATATACCTGTGTAAGTGTGTGAACATGTGTGAGTGCACGAGATAGAGAGAAACAGAGACAGATAGACTGAAAAGATCATTAGCCAAATGACTCAAATCTCTGCTACGTTCATTTGTAAAGGACCACAAAAAAATATGTATTTAAAATTTTATGAGGCTCTATAATCTTATTGCATATACTGAAATCCATCCATGTTTATGAAAAGTTGCTCAAAAGTAACAGCTCGTAAATGCAGACAAGAAATAGGCAACACACTATCAAGATTTAAAATCATGATCAAATTTTAAATGTGCATAATCTGGATGAGAAGAAGAAATTTCTTAAGAGAACATCTAGAGGCCGGAAAAGTATGTAAATTTCAAATTCTAATAGCTCGGGAAGGAAAAAAAAAAAAAAAAAAAAAAGAGGGAAGGAAGAGTCGGAATCTCAAAGCTTTAAAAAGTTGAAAAATCAGAGAAGTCAGAAATTTCAACCTTGCTTCTGCGTTCTGGAAAAGTTCCAAACTAGAGAGAGACAGAGAGAGAGAGAGAGTCTTCTTCCCCAGTCTATGCCTTCTTGAAAGAGGAAAACTAAATATACAGAAGAACAAAGAAGTTGAAAAGGAAGTTTGAGAGAGAAGGTTTAAGAGGGTCCACTTAAAGAATTGGAGGACATTATGTTCCATGAGTAAGAACTACAGAAAATAACAAAAGGACGAAAACAAAGTCCATGTATGATGTACCAAGGTAAAAAAGAAAAAAAGAAAACAGAACCATTTCACAGAAGAAAACAAAACACAATAGCGTTTTACTGCTCCCCCTGATGAAGATAATGATAAACAAAAAACAACAATAATAAATATTATAAACATATTATAAACTACAATTTTTTTTTCTTTACTTTTTTAAATCGTGATTCAGCACATAACCAAACAGGTTGATGAATCTTCAACAAGAAGATTTCGACAACAGAAAGGGCATTGGAAATGGAACTTAAAGAAAATGCAGGAACTAACCAGAACTGATAAAGGGATTACACAGATGAAGGTCGAAAAACGATTCCGTGATGCCGCCCAGATCTCGGTGGAGAGGGGAAAGCGTGGAGAGGGGTAGGTGGGTGGGTCCGGAAAACAATCGGATCGAGGAGCAATAAACACCCAGATGGCGATTCTTCCTCGAAATGATAAAATAGAAAAAAAAATGCCAAAAGAATTGCTGGAAGGTTGAGATTGAGATTGAGATTGAGAGTAAATTAAATACAATGGAATGAAGAACAGAATTGCAGAAGAAGAAGAAGAAGACGAAAATGGGATCTGTTGTAGAAACGGAACGTGAAACGCACAAATCAAAGTTTGTATTTGGTGGAGTATCTTCGTAAATTTCTCCTCCAATTTAGGTTTGTTTTTTTTGTTTCGGATTTGGGTGCCACGAATTGAGAGAGAGGGTTCTTGCTGTCGTATTAGCTTCAGCAGTTGCCTTCCATGAAATTCCGTATAACAAATCTTTCAGTCGTTGGCTGATGCCACCGCGTTTTGTTTCCATTCTTACTATTTATATTTACAAATTTAACCATAAATAAATAATAAATAAGAAAAAAAAAAACCCTTCAACACGTCTTTTCTTTTATTATTTTTTTAAATATGCAATTTTTTAGTTGGGATGATGTGTGTAAAAATGGAGTTTTATATAAATATATATGTTTTCTATGGTCATTTGTATAAAGATGAGATATTTTCTGTGGGTATTTCTATACGGTCATGCATAAAGATTAAGAAAAATTTTATCTAAATCTTATCCAACGATTGAAATCTTTTGATTTTTATAAAGTTTTAAAATTAATATCCATACAACATTTAAATCTTATAGCAGCGTGAGTTATGACCTATATTATTGAATATTTAGACTGCATTAAACACTCTATGAAGAGGAAGGTTAAGTTGGTCTACGATGATTGGACTAAATATAGTTACAATAATCTCTTATCGAGGAAAATAAGAAAGAATAATAATGAGATAAAAGTATGGAAATTTGTTAAGAAAATTAAAATCTTAGCTAAAACAATTAATTAAAATTTTACCCTAAAAATTTTTTTGAGGGAGGGGATGATAAAAGTTCTATGAACCACTTAGTCAGTTTTGGGATGAAGAATGATTGGAAGTTATAAAGATGATGATATTATAATTGTAGGATTGTGGAGCTTAATCATTAAACATATTACTGCCTAAATCTGAATTGAAGTTTATTTGAAGCTTGATTAATTAAATATATGTCTGAAAGATACATAAAAAGTAATTTAAAAGATAGTGAGCAAATACTTTGATTATTATTTAGACTTTTGTTCGGACTTGGGGCATCCATTTTATTCTTTGGCAACCAAAAAAAAAAAAGGAAGAAGTTTTATTATTCCTACTTTTTGTCCATACATACAATAATTATTTTATTTTTATCGTTTTAGTTTTAATTTTATTTTAATCTAATTTAGGTGTTGATGATATAATAAGAATCCATTAATTAATTCTCCAACTAACAACTTACAAGTAGGTTGTTACCAACGAACTTTTGCTATTTTACAGTTTTAATTGAATTCTTAATTATTTATTACGTCATCCGCTAAATCGAAATCATAATTGTTATTGATATAATCATAATTTATAAATCACTTAAATATGAAATCTACAAGACGCGCTAATTACATTTTTAACCTCACTAGATTTTGTGTTGTTTTAAAGCAACTTGGAATAGAAATTGACAAAGGGAACAAACAAAGACTAAATACAAATAAGAGGGAAAAAAAGTATTATTTCCAATTTGAATTTTTGCATCATTACTATGCTATTAGTTTCCATTCGGATTTCTATACTTCTCATAATTTTATTATTCATTCATATATTTTTATTGAAATTTACACACGTCTCTACCATTAATGAAGAATATAATAAATCTAATATGATAAGTTATTTGTGAACGTAATAAGCTTCATAATGTTGTTTTATTGACACATGATGGATGTGATTGTGAATTTAAGTTAGAATTTAAAACATAAATTTTAATTGAACATTAATGCATAAGGATTAATCGTATTGGAGTGCAACTAGTAAACATAATGGTAAATTATTTAGTTTCTATAAATAAAAAAAATAGTAAATTATTTAGTACAACCCCAAATAAATATTTAAACCTATATATAATTATTCATTGAAGTGATAAATTGATCATTATGATCCTTGACTTTACAAAGTCAACAGTTGCATTGAGATTTGGTCACCAAATCCCACCCTTATGTTCAAATCTTCCGTTTTTAAGGTCATCTTATTCATATCTTATATCCAATCTAAAAAAAGGAAAAAAAAAAAAGAAATAAGAGTTTGCATAACTTATATTTAAATTTTATCATTAATAAAAATTAATATGTAGCTTAAACTTTAATTTATAACCTGACACCAAATATTGTAAAATCATGTTTCGTGAGATTAGCCGAAGTGCATGTATGTAAACTAATTTAGATATTTACGAATAAAATATTGATTTATATAATTGGAAGACTAATAAATAATAAAATATAGTTCAGGGTAACGCTCAAATATGGATTCAATTTCTTAATTCTATTATAATAAAGCCGTATTTGCAGATCAAACCAGTGAGTGAGAAAATTCTCCACCAACTTTTGGTTTGGTGGGTCAATATAAACAATTTTTCAAATTCTCAAATCAAAAAGCAAACAAAAATGGCAGGGGCATTGTGGTCATTTTGGTAATGTATCACTTTTTTGTGAGTGGTGGGCTGACAAAACATTTTCCTAATTGATCTCAATTACAAGGAATTTTGATAAGAAAGCCAATGATTTTGTCTCATCACACAATCTTTTTTCCATTATGATTGATTTAATGGAACCCAAATTCTTCTCTTAGTAATTTAACCAATCAATCAAATCTCAAAGTTTGAACGGAATTAGATGGGAGAGTTTTGATTTTGCCCATATAAACAAATATACTTACATTCTATTATTATATATTTTCAAAATTATCGAATTATTTTAACCCTTTGCAATAATATCATTATAATTTTGTCAAATTATATCTAGTTCAATTAGTTAAGACATCCATTTATAATTTAAAAGATCATGAGTTCAAACCCTTATCCACGTATCTTACCAAAAAAAACATATATATTATTATAATTTTATTCATCATTTTCATATAATATCTAACTTAGGAACGAGATTGATATAATTTTTCTTAAAACTGTATAAAGAATTTTTGACTGATTAAGAGTTCATTTCAACGTGATGTTCAACTATATATATGATAAAAAAAAACTTTTGAAATTTCTAAAGATGTAGATTTAAATTTTGCTCAACTCATGAACACTACTCTATATATATAAACTCAAACTAAAATGTAGAGTTCAATAAAAAGAAGAAAAAAAACTTAATGTAAGATGTCACATGTAATTGATCAATGTAATTTTCTCACAAACTTATATTATATGACCCAAAAAAGAAAAAAATGAAAAGGTTTTGAAAAGGAGTGGGAAAGGCAAATAGAAACTATGTAGAAAAATCCAAAAAGACATAGCAAAGTGGTGGCAAAGCATGTAACACATTATTTTTAGTGACATATTATATGTCTGATGGCCCAACCCAAAATTAATATATATATATATATATATATATATATATATATATATGGTAATGCTTCATTTTCAAAATAAGCCAAAATCCAACTTCAATATAGCTGTATTGCTCCCCCAATGTTTTTTCTTTGAAATAAACAGTTTAATAAAAAGAAAAAAAAAGGGTTCTAAATACACCCAGTCTCTAACCCCACCATTCATACCTTTCTAAAATTTGAATTGGCATTAATTTGTTTGATTTGAAATGTGTCCAACTTTATTCTGCCAAAGGATGAACAAAAAGTGTGGAAATTTTGGTCAGATGCAATCAATTGAGCCCATTATAGCTATAAATATATAAAGATATGCAATAATTCATGTTTCATGTTTATTATTTTTTGTGTTTCTGTCAGATCTTGGGTTTTTATCCCCATATTTTAGCTCGTTCAAATAAAACTGGTAAACAAATAATAATAAATTTTAAAAATTAAGAAAACAGAAAAAAATCGTTTTAGTTTACATGAAATGTATACGAACTGTACCTTATTTTTGCTGATTTTTTTTAAATATTTTATTTTATATATTATCTTTAAGAAATATGTTGAAAATTAAGATAACTCAATTTTCATATTCCTTTCTCTTTATTCTCGATGCTTTTACCATCGTTTGGATTAACTTTGTATATGAGTTTTAAATTTTGATATTTTTAACTTTGAAGTTCTAAAAATTCTCCAAATTTATGTGAATTACCATATGTTAACTATAATAATAGAAAGCTAGCAATTTTTTAATTATTAAATTTATGATATTCTTTTGGTGGATATGACATTTTCTATTTTGTAAATATTACCAAAAAGATTATATATTATGAAATTCTCATCAATTTTAACGTGTTATACAAATTGATCAAAGTCCGACAAATAATTAGACCAAGAAACATCTCAAACTTAATTGGTGTGTCCTTTTCATTTACTTTCATTAAAATATTGAACGATAGAAAGCAAGATTCATCAATAGAATAACAAAATTGCATTTGGTGAGTCAAAGTTGAAAATGAAATCTTCGCCCCAACAAAAATTTTTCTATCCTTATCTCTGAAGAACGAGTCTCTCTAAAAGAAATTTCTGAGGTATATGTCAATTACCGTAGAGAGAAATAGATAATATTAATATTATATTTTCTAACACCAATTTTAATATTTTAATATTCATTTGTTCGAATAATTATTTCTAAAGACAATCTAGTGTTTTTATTAACAATTTATTGAAGGACTCTCTTTTTTGTTTTAAATGAGAATCTTCCATTTGCATTGCAGCTCGATCCCACATAAAACCCTTTTCAATCCAATAAAGGATGCTTCATTCCATTACTGATCATATACTTTCCTTAATTATTTCTTTAGAAACATTTATCGTTCCTATGCTGTAAAAAAGGTGCCTCATTAATTTCATTCCCTAATTCAACCAAAAAGCAAAATCGGTTCATTAAAATAATAATACTCTTATAATTTTGTATCATTTCAGGATATTTTAAAAATTACATTGTTCAGATTCAAAATATTTGTGAATGGTATGTCTCAAATCAAATTTTATCCTATTAGTTCGGATAGTTCATTTTATACATGTATCGTATATATTGATTAGAGTAAAAATAAGTAAACAGTAATAGTTAAAATTTTATAGCCAAGTTTAGTTTAGTGGTTAAGGTAACTTGCTCCTTTCCTAGAAGTCGAAAGTTCAAATTATCACCTCCCCACATTTATTGTACTAATAAATAGACCTTATTATTATTATTTTTTATTATCGGCTAGATTTATCTATTTATTTTTATCTTATTTTTTTGAGTTGAGTTGAAAGAAGTGTCTCATTTACTTAGGATTGCTGCACTTGGAAAAACTTAGCCCTCATAATTTTTTTTTTAGTAAAAATTATTTTAGTCAATTTATTAGATAGAAGATTGCTTGGACAGCATCTATATCTCATATTCGAAAAGAATGCCATTTTAGAATCCATGATGATATCTACTGTTTGACTTCAATTATCTTATATCTTGTCTAGAATGATTTTTATACTCGTGTTATCACTTGGCGAGATAATGTTCATTCTAGAGGCTAAATTTTGATGGAGTCTCATCGAGGATTATCTTCAGAACTGAGTTCTTTTTCTAGTTTAGCTTTATAATTATATGTGTGTTTTTATGCTTGTTCTTGTTTTGGTTTGTTGTTATCTTTCTTCTTCGTGGTTTTCTTATTATGTCTTGATCTCACAGATGAAATCTTTTTTTTTTTCTCTTGAAAAAAGAAAATAAAAACAATCTTAAAAATAGAATTAAATAGCAAATATTATTTTAGTTATTTGTTGTATTCGAAAATGATGAATACTTGGTAGAGAGCATCTCTTAATTCTTTTTATATTGCAAAAGATGGAACATTTTTTAAAGTAGTTGCAAGGCATAAACCTTAAGAAAATAAAAGGATTTTGAATTCGGCTTAATTAATTAAGATGCATTGAACAAAAAAGGAAAAAAAAAGGAAAAAACATACAAATGAAGCAAATAAAAGGAGATTCTTTCTCCAAATTTTAATTTAATAATGAGGGAGTGTTGGCATATGCAATAGAACTTTCTTGGAAATTGAAAAAAATTTCCAAACTACCAAGCGCTCTTTTTCGATTATTCAATTTCTAGGGCTTGGAGAATTTACTAATATTTTATTATCATTACTTCTTTTTATCGGTGCACTAAAATCAATATTTTAAAAGAAGCAAATTAATGAAGATAGAGGAAAGATGACTTTCTCCAATTGCATTAATGGCTTGATTAATTTAATATAATCTTCAGAAAATAAATAATAACGGCGAGATAAGTGTATTTACTGATTGTATGTGAATGGGGTCATAAACTATTGAAATGCAATAATGTCTGAAAAGAGTAACGTTATTGCCAAATAAATCTAATTCTTTTCTTTTTTTTTTCTTTTCAAGGTCTTTATTTTCCATTTTTAAATATAATTAATATCTCAGTAACACTATAATTTTGCTTGAATTATAAGTTTGCACCGCTTCAGTTTATATACTTCAAAAAATTTAAGATAGATATATGAGTTTTCAATTTTTCTTTTTGTCTAATAAGTCCATGGGTTGACCTGGCTAATTTAACCATCAAACTTCTAAATTTATTGACAAAGATTTATGAAATACAAATTTTACTGATTTATTTCCATTGCTATATCCATATATCAATTAAATTTATCAAATCTATCACTGTAAACTTTTAAGTCATCGGTAATTTATTATTGTTTAATATAGTAGCAGAACGAAAGATCTTATGTTCGAATCCTTTTGAGTTCATTGGTGATTTATTATCTTTAATATTTAGAGTTAAGAAACAAGTATACCTAATCTTGAAAGTTTAGAGACAAATTAAAAGTTTTAGATGAACTAAATAAATACAACAAACAATAACAGTAATTTAACCTAAAATGTTTAACACAGTCAGTAACACAATCAAGCAAAGTTTCTTGGTTTTTTCCTTTTACGCTTCAAAAATAAAAAAAAAAGGTTTTTTTTTAATAAAAACATTTAAAATTAATATTTACGAATCGGTTCGAATTATTTTGATTTTACAACGCCTAAACCGGGCTGAATTTCTTCTTCTGCCCCGTAAAAGAGGATGATTAAGTGGCTGGCCCGGCCCAATAACTGCAAAGGCTCGGCCCAACACGAAGCCCAAGATCCTCCTGAGACCCGGTCAGAGATCCTCCCTCCTCCGCCGAATCAAAGAAACGACGACTTTCTCGAGCTTCAGCCTCCGGTCTCTCTTCGACCGCCAAAGAATCAGAAACTTTTCTCTGACTCTTTTAACTCCACGGGATTTCTGAGATTTCACCATCACTTTCGCCTCTTCCATTGTGTATTTCGCCTTTCCTTTCCAGGTAGAGCCTCTCACTTAACGTTGATTCAATCGACACATTTATGGCTTAGATCTTTTAAATCTTTGTTCGCTGTTTGTATGGAAGGTGGTTAGATTTTTGGTAGTGGAAGTTTTGAATGTAGAAGAAATTGATTGTTGCGTCAAATTGGATTATTTAAAATAGAAGTTCTTATCAGATCTTTTAGAGATTCAAATGGAGAAAATTTATGACGCGAATCAATGGATCGCGTATCCTTATGATAACAAGTACATGTTCTATGTTCGCTCATACATGGTTTAGGTTGAACGCATGAGATTTTCTTATCTTTATTGCCACTTTTGCTTCGTTTTTATTTTGGGCGATAATTATTGTTTATGTGCGGTTTCGAGAAGGGTCAAAATTCTCACTGTCTGTGTTTGTTATCGACAATCATGTGAATACTCTAATTTTTTATCCTCCGCTTGATGTATTTTAAAGGTGGCTCGTTTTGGTTGGAATTTGAAGACTGCGTTCTTGCAATCTGCTGTCATGGCATCTAGGCGGAATGTTCGTTACAGCTCCCTTCCCACTGATGATAACGATCTTGATTATGAAGGAAGTCAGTATGACCCTCGCTTTTCTTATACACCCAAATCTTTTGACAAGGTCCCCTGGAAATCCATCGCTCTTGCAATCTTCCTGTTACTTCTTGGATCATTGCTTCTCTTTCTTTCGTACTTTGTATTAAGAGGTCACATGCCAGGAGAGAAATCTCAAGCCTATGGTCTTCTAGCGTTGGGGGTTCTGACCTTCCTCCCAGGTATTGAAATTTCTCTCTTTTATATGGTTTTTGACATGTGGCTTTTGTTATATGTTTATAAATGTTAGCTGTTTATTCCGATGCTGGATATGTGAATCTTGGCTGCTAGGTCAAGCCATAGTTGACGTAATGGAATCGATTTTGTTGATCTATTACAAGTAATAAGGTGTGAGCTAACATTTTGAAAGAGAGTTGTGAGTGAACTGGCTTCTTGCTTTTCTAACATTTGGAGGGCCTGTAGCATTTATGAGAGCTGAAGAAAAATAACAGAAAAGAGCAGGGACTATATTTTATTATGCTGTCGATGTTAAATTGGATGACTCTAAAGCCCCTCCAGTATTAGTTATCCTGATTGTTGTACTCCTTTTTGAAGTCTCGCTCTTAATTATTATTGTAGTTGTAACTTTCGTTCTTTTTCTTTTCTCAAGTAAAATAGAGACACATCTAATGGACATTTCTGTTTCATGTCTTTGTGAACACTTTTATTCAATAGATGTGCATTTAATAGCCATATTTTATATCTCTTTAAGAGAAAAAACACAATCTTTTGAATTTTATGTTTATTTGAATATTTGAATATTTTTAGTATTTAAAATGGTCAGGATCGTCCAGGAAAGAAACATTGAAATAATGATAAAAATATATACGAACAGGAACATTCCTGGCCCATAGGACTTGTAAAAAACACTCAAATTGCACAGATGGAGGAAGAATATATTACAACAAAATGTGAAGCGTACCAAATCTCCAGAAAGAAAGTACTAGTTAATACTTGTTAGTGTTTTGCTATTAAGCTGCCCTGACTATCAATTTAATTTATTTGGTTCGTACATCTCATACAAGTATGGTACTTGTTTCTGTCATTCTGTCATGGACAGTTTTGTTCTTAGAAATTTGATTCTTATTTATTTTCTTATTTTTCCTTTAAACAATACAAAATGTATCCAGAAATCCAAAATGGAGTGTGAATCAAAGTTCTATTTCTATTGAAAATGATGTCGGTAGAAGTGCTGTTGGCTCATCCTATCCTAGAATTTTGATAATCTGAGCAACTATTGCTTTTTTGGTGCAGGCTTTTACGAAACCAGGATTGCATATTATGCATGGAGGGGAGTTAATGGATATCGCTTTGCTTACATCCCCGATTACTAGTTGTGTTCCTATCTCGATGGTGCATGGTTGTTTCGTTCACTCTTTCACTGTAAACTAAACTATCATATAAATTATGGTGTGTACAGAATCATGTCTCTTGAGTTTGTAATTTATTCATCTTTTATTCTTCTTTCATAGCTTGTTTTTTTTAGGTTAGAAAAACTTGATAGATTTGTAGCTGAAACTTATGAACTCTGTGCCCATGCAAACACTTCGAGTGAGATTATTCCATATGACTAAATGCTTGGAGCAAGGCTTATGCAACATCGCTGCCTTTGGATGGCTTGTGTTTGGGCTCAAAGCAAAAAGTTGTAGATTTAAGAATTGTTTAGCATATTGTTGTTTTTGGAATGGACAAAAGTAAAAGATTTGTCCTCTGTCTTGATGGGATCTCTACAATCTTACAAACTTAGATTACAACAATTTGATTCCATTGTTTAATTCTTGATGGTGAAGCCAAAGCAATATTTGAAAATAGAAGGGTAAATACATTTTTCGTTCTTGAAGTTCTGACTTGGTTTCTATTCGAGTTCAAAAATCTATTATTTTTTTCTGTAGAATTTACATTTAGTTTAAGTTTAAGTTGTTGAATTTAGTTTTGATTGTCCCTTTGATTATGTGAGATTAGGATACTTTCTTTTACCATCATACTTTAGATTTTAAGTAAAAGAGATAAAAGAAAAACTAGATTGAAAACTAATGGTAAAATAATTATTTGGTGGATTAAATATGAATTTAACAATACATCCCAATTGTTCTTCTCCATCCATTTAATAGATATATGGTTAATCGTCAAATTATATGTATATATAGACTCAACTTCTCATATTAAAATAAAAAAAAAAATCCCAAAACCCAATTTTCTCTCTGGGTTTCCTGCTGTTGATCATCATGGCATGGCGAAGGCAAAATTCAATTAACGAAGCAAATGGGTGGCAGATCCAGTGAACTCCAAATTGACAAATCAACATCACTGCTTGAAAAAGACTCCATTTCATTTTCAGCTGAAGAACCCTCTTCTTTCTCTTCCTCCTTCTCCTTCATCAATTTCTGATATTCTTCCTCTTCTTCTTCTTCTTCTTCAACCTTCTTCTCATCTCTCTTGATATCACATGCCCTTCTCAAGCTAGTTACGAGTTCAGTGGAAGATTTGCCATAATTTCCTCCCTCAAGCTTCAATTTTAAGCACTCAGGTATCCCATTAAAGGCATAGAGAGAAGCTGAAATTTTCCTCTCATATTTCATCCTCTTCATGGCTTCTCTCATCATTGAAGAAGGCTCATCCTCACTCCCTTCTGATCCCTCCATTGCCTTCCCAATCTCCTCAGCAATCTCAAATGGAGAGTAGTAACATGGTGGCCCAATATCATCAAGAAAATGGAAATCCACAACACTTGCAGCTTCTTGATCTTCTTCTTCTTCTTCTTCTCCCACTCCTCCATTATTTTCATCAATATCTCCACTACTTGATTTCACCATCTGGGTCATTCCCATCCAATTGCTCTCCATTTCTCCACCATCACATTCATCTTTCTCAGTCAAACATGACTCAAAACTTCTACTGATTTCCTCAATATTGGGGTTGCTGGCTGTGATATTATTGTGGCCAAAGGTGAAAACTTGATCATGGTCGTTCAGCAAATCACTTAGAATAACATTGTTGTTGTCTATGAAACATGTTGTAGTTTCTGATTGTAATTCTATGCATTCATTTGGCCTTCTCCTCTCGTGGGCTGATTGATCTTGATTGTTGATAATGGAGTTGTTTCTTGCATTGAGCCTTTGGAGGAGAAGATTGGTGATTTTTGAAGGAAGGGCAGGTGATGAAGATGAGGATAAAGTGGAGCAAGGCCAGAAGTTGGTTCTTGTGTTGGAACCACGGAGCAAACAAGCTGCCTCATCATAAGCTCTAGCTGCCTCCTCAGCTGTGTCAAATGTGCCCAACCAAACTCTAATTTTTTGTATGGTGTCCTTGATCTCCGCCACCCATCGTCCCGACGGCCGTTGTCGAACTCCGACAAATCGCTTTCGGGCCCTCCGAGCTCCTCCGAGCGCTGCCGCTGCTGCAGCCTCCTTCACCATCTCATCCCACCCCATGGCTCCTTGTTCATTTGAGCTGATCTTGTCTTCCACTCCTTCAATAGCCTTTCTCTTTCTTGCCATCTGCAGGTATAGCAAGTAATTAATGTCTTTCTTTTAGTGAAAATATAGTTTGATTGCTTGACTTCAGCTTGAGTTGCTTCAAGTGCATATTTATAAGGGGGGAGATCAAGAGGAGGACTTTATGGTGGGAATTTGAAATGGTCTTCCATGAAGTTTTGGTCTCTTATTTTTGTTGTTTTTAATAATTGGCTCTTCATCTTGAAAGGCCACATGTCAGCTGATCAAACTGCAAAGTTCAAAGCATGTAAGTTAGTGATGTGATTTTTCAAGTGAATTTTCTGACTCATTCAAAAGGGTTTTGTTCTCTGTAGCCAAATTAATTAATTTAATCCATTTGTTATTTTACTCCAATCCAAACCCTTCCAATCATTAATTTCAAGTATTTTTGTATTCATACATTGGGAGGAAGCAAGATCTGATCTCTTTAGCATCTAGAATAATACATACATACATACTTTGAAATTATCACTTTCAAGAAAGAGAATATAAAATTTGTTACCTTCCTACCATTTCAAAGAAAGAAGTATTTTTTTAAGTGCTAAACAAATAGGTAACCCTATGTGAGATTGATGAATAAATCATTATACACTATTTTTTGTTCTTTTGTGTCTTGATAGAGTTGGAATTTGTTGCACTTTTTACTATCTGGCATTGGTTACTTAGGTTAAAGATACAGATTAATTGTTAAATTACATTTTTCGTTGATATCAATATAGCTAGTTTCTGAATTTTAAAAATTAGTTTAATTTTGTCATCTAATTAGTATTTGTACTTATCAATAATTAGTGTCATTAATACATATTTTTAAAGAGAAATTCAAATTTATGCATATCAAAGGGACTAATTAGAATGAATTTGTTTGGTTTAGTAATCTTAGGCATGTATAAAACACCAATTTAACCTTCAAATTGATCCTAACGCTTCGTGAAGTCTAAATTTGTGACACTTGAATTTCAAGGACATCAATTTCTAAGCTTTAGAACTTACAAATTAGCGAACTCACGGTCTAAAATAAGAAAATTTATATGCAAAGTAATATTGTCTAATACGAATGTGATACAAAATTCAAAATCATTTTCAGATTTAAAATCACAGAATTTAACCTTGTTTCTTGAACTTTCTTTTTAACGCAAATAATGGGAGGCTATTATTGTACATTTATGTAACAATATATCTCTGCATGTCATTATCAAGATGGAAGTGGCCTCCAAAACATTTACTTTGGCTGATTAACCATATAATAATTAATAATTAGTAATACTTATAATTATTATAATAATAATAATTAAAAAAGGAAAGCCTGACCATATTGCTCTCTTAAATTAATGATTGTAATTTGGAGATGAACGTCAAAAGAAAGCGATTCATCCAATGTCCCAATGCCATATATTTTATAAATATTCATATTTATAAACCTTGTCCAATTTCAGCCCACAAATGGTGACACCAGAAATTTAATTTCAAGCTTTATAATTATTCAATCATTCCATCATCATCTTATTTATTTAATTAAAATTGGGGCTACGTCACCCTAAAAAGGTCCAGATGTTGACATTTATTTTTTTAAAATAAAGTTATTTAACGTTGTGCAACAAACACATGCAAAAAGTCAAAAGCTTTGTTACTTTTTCGTTTTTAACCCTCAATTTTAAAAAATCAAGACAACCAAGTAAGACGAATTTGATGAGGTGTATCAATTTTTACCTTTAACATATATATTTTTACCTTGATAAAAAAAATGATGCTAGAAACTAGAAAGGACAAGAGAAGATAATTTTTAAAAAATGGGTGCAAAAAAAGGCATGGAAATTGGAGAGAGAGATTTGATGAGATATGGCAAATTAAATGTAGGGGCAGTGTTCATTTATTTAATTTCATTGACAAAAGAAAAGACAAAGTTGAGAGCGATGAGATTTTACATTGTTTCCAATTTGTTTGTCACTGTTTTCTAAGTTATGCCGATGGATCTATCACACCCTGAATTTTCCTCTTGAAATTAACCAAATCCACAACTTGTTTAATTTGCCATTTGGCTTTTACTTTGGTATTTTGTTGATGAGTTTGAACCAATCAACCCAACCTACTTGTAAGCCAATTCTTGGCTAGTTTACTCAATCGACCACTTACCTTATCCATCAAGAAATATAAGTTTTTCTATAGAGAGTTTATATGATTTTAATAGAGTTGTAATAACTAAATTTTCAGAGTGAAGTTTGCCTTTTAAGATATGAATGCTTAGTATTTAGGAGTGAAGAAGAATGAATGTTGAGGGAATCAGTTCAAATGTCTTGATAAGCCATCAACCTTAGGAATTAGTAATTCCTATGTGTTTTTCGGTATCAAATGTTGTAGGGTCAAACGATTGTCCGTGAAATTAGTCGAGATGTGCGTAAGCTAGTTCGGACACTCACAGATATTATAAAAAAAAAAGAATGAACGAACGAATTTTGTAGCAAAGGCAGAGTGAAAGAAGAATGGAGGAAGAGCAATTGCTCTCTATCCTAAAGCTCCAATCCTCTTAGATTATAAAAACTTATGTAAAAGAAAGTTAATTAATTAAAGTTTTTTTTTCTTTTTCCTAATTTGCCTTTGGAATTGAAAAAATTATAATTATATTTTAAAAGTTAGAAGGTAAAATTTTGTCCCTTGGGTCTCTATAATTTATTTTAGTAGTAATGAATATATATATATACATATTTGTGATACAACATGTTGGGGAGGGGATTCGAACTTACAATCTCTTGGTATATGCCAATTATCGCTGAACTATGCTTATTTTGGCTTACTAATAATGAATATTAATGAATAAAATGTGAAATGAAATATCTAAATTTGACATCAATATATATATATATATATATATATATATATGCCAATTGAACCAATTGAGCTATCCCTTCAAGACTATGTACAAAACTACTCGTCAAGTAATTGCTTTTCAAAGTGGAGTTAGTGTAAGTGCTTTCTGCTTAGAACTTTTGGTGGGTTCAGATCTCTACCGTTTAAAAAATAATTACTTAGTTCATCCTCCTTTCATTAACCTAACAAAGTTGTTCGGTGTGTTAGTGGTTGCCTATATTTTGAGAATGACAATTAAGATCATCTAGGAATCCTTCTCATTCATTCAAATGAGAGGAGTTCAATCGATACGGGGTTCTATTCTGCTTGACTTATTGCTTGGAGGCTATTCGAGTTCATTTTCTGTCGCCACTGTCCCACGGTATTATTTCAGTACTATCCATGATCACTAGGAGTATTTAGTCTTTGATATGAAAATCTTTGAATTCCTAATTCACGAAGCACTAAAACCTCAAAACCGATTCTATGTCAACTCTAATTTATAGGTTAGACACAGATTAGCTTAAAGATCGAAGCTCTCGAGAGAAAGAAAACAAGTCTTTGGTCCAAGATTTGCACACTCCACACAATTATATTCGATCATCAATCGTACTTGAATGTTCTTGACATTCAATTTAAAGAAACATGAAATTGCAAAAGATTCAAACTCTTTTGTTGAACTCAAAAGGAAAAGTTTGATGGCTAATTCATATTATCAAAACTATTTCCTCCAAAATGCCACCTCATAAATCATAACAAAGAGATAAAAATATCTCTACTTAATATATGCTTTAAAAGGACAAAAATTATACAACAATAAAATTACATCAAAGCTATTAAATAAAACATGGATAATAGTTTTTTTTATTACCTAAGACTTTGACCGTCCTTCGACCTTTTTATCCCTATATCTGAGATATGTGCACTGTTGCCATACCTGTAGATACGTAATAAGTCATTGCTCGATGAAGTTGTATCTCTTGTGACTTGAACTCAAAGCCTCAAGATAGCATGGATAATAGTTTTAAATCTTATGACGGCTAATATCAACCCTTCACAATGATCATCGCTAACTTATACTGGATGCTATGTGCCCCAACGTACCTTCTAGGAAGTCCAAAGTATATTACCTCTTATTTAGTAGTTTTCTTTCTCCACACTATTGTAAATTTTCTATTTGAGATGATATTTAAATTTATAGCACATATTATATAACGTTCTCTTTAATTTAACTTGATGTGCCTAGTAGTTTGAAACGTTAATTATTTGAGAGCTGGATATGATCACAATATTTTTCAATATTAAAATCATAACAAATAAAATATCAGAACATCTTGGCTTGGCCAAATGAAAATTAAGTATAAGAAATAAATTACAGTTAAATGAGCAAGTCTTTCAACCAAAAGACTTCTGTGTGACAAAACTTTAGAGGTTTACATATTTTGTTTTGATGTGTGTGTGAAATTGAAATTTTCAAAAGTAAATGCACAACCAACTGAGACAGATGAATTCTTAGAAGTACAAGTTTAAGTAATCTGTATGTATTAGCAAGGCTATAACCCAAACTAAAAAAATTGACATACCAAAGTAGGAGCCCAGCTTCGCCCCATGTAAACTATATGGTTAGAAATGAAATCAAAGTTCCACATTACTTAAAAGGTTGATATCGGGCAAAAGAAATACCCTTAAATAACTTTACTTTTCTTTTTTAAGTACAAGTAGATGTAGGAGGATTCGAACTTGATAATTATTATTGAACTAAACTCATGTTTGCTCGAATAACTTCACAAAATTCGCGCAAGAGCCAAAAAGTACACACCACCTTGGGCCAAGGAGTTTCGCTAATAATGCAGATTTGGGTCCCTTCTTCTTCCATGAAATTTAATTTCTCAGCCCTTCACCAATCTGTACTTCTTGTTTCGAGTTTATGAAACAGTTTCCAGCAAAGATAATTTTGCCCCTCCAATTTCGGCAAATCCAGCTCAGGCCTCCTCTATCTTGAGCTTTAAACCAAGCCACATAGTAATTTAGGGTTCGTTTGGTAATGTTCTAGGTTTGTTGTACTTTTATCTTCAACAAGTGGCCCGGCGTTCCATGCTGGTCAAAGCATATGGTTGCCTGGTTGTTTAAATGCTGTTAATGAGAATAGTAATTCACTATTCTTAACAATAGGGTCCTGCCGACTTCTTGATCATGCTATTGAAATTGGAACAAACTATCTCTTCTTTCTTGTTCTCATTCCAATTTGTTCCAAAATATTAATGAAGAGATAGTTTTATCATATTTGAAATATTTGAAATTGAAACCATGCAATACATTTTTTTTTTCATTAAAATAAAGAAACAAAAACAAGAAACAKGAATGTTACACTAAAGCAAGCATCAGTGGTATATATATATGTTGGACCCCCACCCCCACATGTTGTACATAATAAAAACAGAAACGTTACTAAATGAGTCCTTAATTTTCTAGGTATTTTCAGGTGGTGGGTTTCATCTGGATTGAGAGATGAACTCTTCTGCATTCTTTCATATCTGTCGAATTCCATTAAATGTTGTGTGCTGCTGGTTTTGTTGATGAAAATGAGATGATTGCCAATTAGACGTTCAAATGTTTGCGTGTTAGGTCTTCCTCCTTGAAAAACCATCGAGTTGTTCCTATACTCCCAAATTTACTTTTAGCCAAGTTGTTTTGGTAGGGAGATGCTGTTGTAATCTTTACTGCAGCAAATTTTCATTCTTTAATGGTAAGGATCCCACGATGAGAAAAAAAATAGTTTACAAAAGTTTATAATAGACGTAGGCTACTCTTCTCACCATCAATTGATTTTGAGATGTAACTCATGAATGTTAATATGGTATTAGAGCCTAAGAAGCCTAAATGAACACTCGATCCAAAAAATGTGATATGGTCAAGATTGTGGCTTGGGACTTTATAAAAGTTTATAATAGAACGAACTACTCCACTCGTTATTAATTAACATGAAACCTATGAGTATTAATAATTGATTCTCAAAAAATTTTCGAACACTTGTGAATTTGGATGGTAAGAATTAAGAGGCCTCTGTTTCCAACCTACAAAAGTGCTTTTCACATTGAAAGTGCTTCTTTGTCATAACCCCAAATGGTTTCATCATCAATGTGATGGTTGTGGTCTAAATTTGCTTCATGCCATACTATTGTTGTATGTTCATAGACGTAGCTACCAGTGTAAAGTTACTTTGCCTAGGGAATTAGCCTAGGATCCTCACCTATTGATATAGAATCTAGAATGTCAGGTTCCAATTCCCCATATCCCACCCCTCTTGAAAAGCTCTATCACCACAAAATGCTTCTCCGCGAATATAACTCAAACAAAGAGGTGGTGTATTCAACCCCACCCCACCCCTACATATTGTAGTAAAAAAATATATATACCAAGGCTTGTTTCCAATCTTAGCCTTAATGTAGTTTTCTATTTTGAAATATTTCTCTCTCATCACCTCTCAAAGAAGGCTATTCAGTTTTCCCATTGACCTAAATAATAAATCAATTTTAATGGGAAAAAGAAGATGGTCAGATTCCTATTGGCACCTAGCTCCCTAGATTAGAAAATACTCCATATATTATCATGGATGATATGGGCCTTGTTGATTTGAATAAATACGACAACAACATACTATTATCTTATTAAAACATTTTTGGCTAGGATCATACAATGTAATGGTCACTTTTTTTACTTGATTTAGTTCGTTATATATGATTTTCAGTTAAAATAAATTTAACTCTATTTTTGTCGTCTTTTTGTTTCCAGATGTCAACTTCAATTAGTTAAAAAATATCAACTTGATCCAAAAACCACTTGCACGCCTAACTCGTTGATATCTGTCCCATGTGCAATAATTTATATGAGCATGTGATCATGATCCCATTTCAAACAAGCAAAATATTAAAAAAAGTACCATGCCTTAATTAATACCTTAATATTTTTTATAGGGGTGATCAAACTAAGTCGAAAGACCGATCCGATCGACTAAAACCAACTAAACCGACGTCAATCGATTGGTTTATGGGATGAGTCGGTCAGTGTCGGTTTTTCATAGTGAAAATCGATTAGTCAGTCGGTCGGCTCTTCCAATATCAATGAAATCGACTGACCGATCAACTTATAATAGTAAAAAAAAATTCCAAAATTTCATCCTAGTATTCCACGAGAGAAAGGAGAGCTACAAGAAGATTGAAAGAAAAAAGAACGATGGTAAGAGGGGAAAAAAGAGAGGGAGAAATGACATTGAGAAGAGAGGGTATTGAAAAGAAAGAAAACAATAAAAAAAAAGAGTGATTAATATATAGCCACGTGGGTGGAGAAATGGAAAAGAAAAAAAAAAAGGTTGGATGTGATTCACGTGAATCATAATTTATATATATTTATTTTATATACTTATTTATTTATCCTTTTTCTTGCCCACCTACAGTGTCTAGGAGCGATTCCTTAACCATTTCTCAATTTCTATTTCTTTCCTCTTTTCCTCCCACTATCCTCGCTCTCATTTCCATTTTCTCTCGCCACTTTTCTTCTCTTTCTTCCTTCACGTTCTTCTCTTCCCTTTCTTCTCTTCATGAGTTCTTCTCCATCTTCATCTTCCCTCCTCACATGATCTCTGCATTTTAGTCACACCATCACCTATTTGGAGAAGTCCTTGTTTCGAGTTTAGTATTGTCCAAAAATCGACCGATCGAACAGTCAGTTGAACGGTCGG